GAGATCTTGGTAGATTCTGATGATGTTCCCCTTGTATTTCATTTCGTGTCGTTTTGCCCAGCGCAGCAACCGCTCCTTTTCCTGAAATCGATGAAAACACACCAAAAATGGACGTGGTTTACGGCCGTCCGCTGGTTTTTGGCCGGGTGAACGGTGCGCTCTGTCAAGTGTTGGTGGGTTGTCGAAGACCTCCGTGCCCGTCATCTCAAGTAACATCTCAGAAACGAAAGTAACGGGGTCTTTGCCGTTTTCGCTACCTTCCGGAATGTTCACGATCCTCAAGTTAGCTCTTCGAGATCTGTTTTCCAAATCCTCAATGCGATCAAGCAGAGATGTGTTCTGAGTTTGTAAAGTTTTAATAGCATTTTCAGCTGCTGTCAGCCTCTCAAAATTCTCCCCAGCTAGGCACTCCGTCGCAGTCAGGCGGCTCTGAAATCCTTCAACCGATTCTCTTAACGCATTCACGGAGCTTTGTAAAGGCCCGATAGATTCCTGAATCAATGCAGAGAAATCTTCCCTGATACTAACACGCTGTTTAGTTAATTCAGAAATCAACAGGTCTATGGATACGGATTCAAAAGTTTCTGACGTGACCTGTTTTTCAGCACTGGAGGCGGCCATGGTTGCTAACTTGCTAGCGATGCTCGTGGTAGATCTCGTTGTCGGTGGAGCTGAAGGATGAGCTTGCTTCGGCTTAGAATTACTCATATTTTGGGCGATAATGTTCTAAACAAATCAATTAACAGTAACCGGAAATATTTAGCATTTAGCAGGTTTAATTTAATAAAGTAGATTGGGAGCCCTTCTTCCACGCACCTTACTCCTTCATTGCTATACCGGAAGTCCCGTTGTTTGTGATTTTTAATGTTTTATTTTTTAAAATAAACATGTGTTCCAATTAAGTTTTTTGCAAAACATTTTTTAAAAGTTGGAACAGTAAAGCATTTGCTACTTTTAATGTTGCCATTTCACAACACTTATTTAAAATATTACTTACTACTTAAAACTATTTAGGAACTGAAGACACCAAGTAATGAAGTGTGTCAGGTGTAATTATGTCCCATTCTTCCTGCATATAAGTCTTAAGGTGGGCAACAGTACGGTATCTTCATTGTCACATTTTGCACTTTAAAATGCGCCATAAGTTCTCTACCAGGGACAGGTCAGGCCAGTCAAATATGTATCCTTTTCCTCCGCAGCCAGGACTTTGTAATGTGTGGAGATTTAGGTTTTGCATTGTCTTGTTTAAATATGCATGGAAAAGAATGCAGCATTATGTATCGCAAAATCTCTCTCAGTTTGTTAAGTTGAGATGTATGGAATACTGTTTCCGGGTCCAAGCCACCACTCATTTGAACTGAGAAAATGTTTGTTTATGGCTACTTTTTTGTCCTATCACACTTTAAAGTGAATTTTTTTATAAAAAATCATAGTGTACACATCAGTCTTTAGACTTGCTGCATCACAAATACTAAAATTTTACCAATTTATAAAAAATGAATCACTTTCTGGTCATCAGATATTAGGCATGCATATAGGCTATATATTGCGCCCAAGCAGGACAAGTGGAATATACTTTTCAGCATTAATAATACTATAACAGAAGTGGAAGTTTGCCAAGAGCACTGACACAACCCCATACCATTACAGACTCTTGCTTTTGGACTTGTTCCTAGAGACTGTTTTTTTTTTTTTTTCCTCACCACCAGGGGTTCATTTCTCCTTAAAAATACTTGAAATAATTTATCTAACCACAGTGCACATTTGCAATGTGTGATGGTCTTTTCCGGAAGCCTCTGAGGCCAGAGAAGTCAATGGTGCTTCTGAACACTGTTAACATAGGGTTTCCTTTTGGCACAGTACAGTTTAAATTGGCTTTTGTGGATGTATTATGGTGCTTCACAAAGGTTTGCCAAAGTGGTCCTGAACCCATGTGGTGATATCAGGTACAGATGAATGACAATTCTTGATGCAGTGCTGCCTAATTCATCAGGGATCACAGTAGTTCAGCTTAGGCTTGCACCCTTGTCTTTTGTGCAATGAAATTCCTCCAGATTCTTTGAAACTTTTAATTATGTTATGCACTGTTAAAGGTGAAATATCCAGATTTCTTCCCATCTTTCTTTAAGGAATATTGTATTTAAACATTTCAATAATTTTGTCACATATTTGTTGGCAAACTGGCAACCTTCTGGCCATGCGGCTTTTGTACCAAATCATAATTACAATCACCTGTTGACATCACCTGTTTCAAATCACATCATTATTAAACCAATTTACCTGATTACTACCTTTAATTTGCTTCTGTTCCAACTTTTTTTTTGGATGTATTGCAAGTCTGAATGACAGGAGAGGATGTATACTTACAAATGACATAAAGTTGACCAGAAAAAAGGAAATATTTTGTGTTCCTACTGCAATGAAATATAAAGTAATTTAGGAAATCACAACTTTATACTTTCTTTATCACAACTTTCCTTATTTGCATTTTACATACTGTCCCAACTTATTCTGATTTGTAATTGTAAAACTGCAATTTTAAAAAAAATGTGAATATTAAATAATTATTGTTATTTTCCCTAAAACAAAAGAGCACATAAACAGTACACGATTATATTCATTTAGCTCCACTAATAGATGAAGTCTGTTTGTCAATTATATCTGCTGTATAAATAAAAATGACAGTTCTCAGCCTGCCGCATACAAAACAGTTTGAAAGGAATCTAGTAGATCAGGCTCAGATGTTGCAATGTTTTAGAAAGCAGGTTACGGGTTACATGTCATTTATAAAATATCTGGCAAATTCAATCTGAACTAGCCACAGCACTCGAAGTAAGTGACTGCTGGTGAGTGTTAATTTTACTGACTGAGTGTTTGCAAGTAAATCCTCTTGCCTGAGCACTACTATGCAGCTCCACAAATGTCAAAGAAAGAAAGTAATAGTGATGTTCTATGTTGAAAAGCATTTTAAAATTAAGTTTAAAAAATTAAATATAATAATAACACAGCGGTAAAGACATGATGCTTTTGAAAGAAAGAGAGTCATTTAGTTTGAAGAGAAATAAGAAACTGGTATTTACCGTGAGGAGATGTTTCTCTGGATTGAGTATAACAAAATGAAGCAGAGAGAGCAAAAGTTCTGTTTTGTTGGGAGCGTGTTTGCAATTCGCTGTGATTCTGTGACTCAGCCTTTGTGTGTGTGTGTGTGTGTGTGTGTGTGTGTGTGTGTGTGTGTGTGTGTGTGTGTGTGTGTGTGTGTGTGTGTGTGTGTGTGTGTGTGTGTGTGTGTGTGTGTGTGTGTGTGTGTGTGTGTGTGCGCGCGTGTCTGTCTCTCTCTCTCCCGCTCTCTCCCCCTCTCTGTGTAGTCCTGGTATTCATCACATTGTAGAGACCAAATATCACCACAAGCATAAAAATACTTGTAATTTCTGACCTTGTGGAGATTTATTTGTGGTATACAGAATTTTAAATCCAACAGAATTAAGTAATTTGAAATATAAAACAACAGATTTTTTATTTTTCTGTTAGGGTTGGAATTATGGGTAGGATTGGGATAAGGGGACATAATATCTGTATATCTCTAAAGTATAAAAATATTGTCTATGAAAAGTCCCCATAAAACATGAATGTGTGTGTGTAATATTCTGTTCTATACTGTCTGTTTCTAATAAACTGTCTTGGGCAAGCCCAGAATGTACATGAAACGCTCTGTGCCTAACAAGTCCAAGCACTGTAATAGTTTCCATCCCATACTCACACACACACACACACACACACACACACACACACACACACACACACTCACTCACATGCAGCACATGCACAGCTGGAAATAATAGAAAGTTCCATGCAGGCTGAGGTAAAACACACACACACACAATTCTCTTCCCACACTTTCTGGTCTCTGACAGATATCTCATTTCATCGTGTCTGCTCTGATCTGTCATACAGCCAAACATGACTTGCAACTTCAGGACTTCCTTCATTTTTTTCATACAGTCAGTGTTCTCCTAAACCTTAAAGGGATAGTTTAGCCAAAAATGGAAATTTACACACTATTTACTCTCTATAAAATGAATCCAAACCTTTATGACTTTATTTCTTCTGTTGAATGAAAAAGAAGATTTTTTAAAGACATCCGATAACCTGTAATCGTAATCTTTCATTGAAACAAATACTTTGGAAGACTAAAGCTATGGTTTCCATTTTTCTTCAGAATGTATTGTTTTGTGTTTAAGAGAATAAATAAATTCATAAAGGTTTGAAACTAGTAACTAAATATTAACTTGATTTTCATTTTTGGGTGAACTATTTCTTTTAATTATCATTATGTCCTACTACAATAACTTCCACAAACCCAGAGGTTTACTTGTCACATTAGTCCACTAATTATAGAATAAGAATGTTCATACATTTGACATTCATAATGATCCAACAGGATTAAATGTAGCTTTTCTCACAGCTACTAACAATACTCTTTTAAAGGCAACACTTCTCATTCAACATACAATAAACATATGATTTATGAAATCATATATGATTCATTAAAATGGTTTTAATCCCTTTAATTTTGGTCTCACTTTTGGGCATAGACAAAAATGCAAAAAAAGTTTAATATAAACATCAATATAAACATTAAAAATATCCATATACAAATATCAATATGAACATTTTATTTTCGTACTTTAGATAAAAGGTGCTTTTATCAAAGATGATTTACTGTAAATGCAACTACTTTTTAGGCGTTTTAAATGAACATCTTAAAAGAATTAAAATTAGCGTAAACGTTAACTAATCAAACGCACTTTGCCAGGGTACTTACTGTTCTTTGGAGTTTATGTTTACCTATGCAATACTGACACCTAGTGAAATATGTTCAAGAGTGCAACCACTTCACTTCACTTTTTGGCAAATTGATCAACAAAATCCTTTAAATTATATATACTTATATATATTTTTTTTTTATTATTATTCTTTTTGGAAGAAAAACAATCATTGTTCAGATTACATAAATATATAGTCTACATATTTTCAGTATATACATACCTAAATACACTTTTTTTTTACAATACTTTATACAATTTTACATCACAGATAGGCCTACATGTTATATTAAAACATGAATAGCCTATGTATAAATATACAATCAAACTGTAATATATTGGATATATCCAAGGCGACTTACAAAGGAGAGATACTTTAGAGTGCAAATACAGTACACAAATTCTGCACACTGTTAGATCTGTACATTAGAAAACAATTCTGTAATTCACTGTGCAAAATATATACAACAAAAAGTCACTAGTTTGACAGTAAACTAGTTGCCATATGGTTGGACAAAATCCAATCGCTTACGACAAAGAGGGCACGTACCAAATGTCATATAAACCTTCATGGCGCACGGAGTGCAAACACATTTATGACCACAGCTCAAACGAGTGTTTTCTGCATCACCGTAACACACTACACATTCCTCACAGTTTTGGCCTTCATGTTCTGAGGAAGAAAAAGAAAGATAACAAGTGGTAAAACTACATACAATGGCTGCCTTGGACATAATCTTCTTTCATAATCATATTACCTGTGTTGACAAGATGAACCTTTCTCAGGTTTGCCTGCTCCGGCATGCTCAGTTGTTTCTTTGTTTGCTGAATGTCTTGATCTTCAGTGTATTTGATGTGTGTGAGAGCAGGACAAGACCTTCTGGTGAAAATAAAACATTTCTTTTTGGAACCTATAACACAGACATGCCACATGCACTGTTAGGCAAAGGGAAAAGCACTAAACATTTATGTTCCTGTGTTGTATATTAAGCCAATCAATATTAAAACAAACCAGCAAAAAAGTATTATTTAAATATATAAAGTTTATTTCTTTTAATAATATTTGTTTATTTATTTTATTTTATTTTGTTTTTTTATTTTATTTTATTTTTTTATTGAAAATTCAAAAAAGCCTCACCAAGCATCGTCACCATTGTGGTCTGTCCATAGACGTCAATAATTGCCCAAATGGGCCACTTGACATTCAGGGCGGTTGGCACTGATTGTGTTCTACCATCAGAACTTTGTACGCGCAGACAGCCATTCTTCTTCAACCAAAACTGAATATCTGAGCCAGGTCGACAAGTGTTCACGGGAACTACAACTGCCGCGTAAAGTGGTGAGTTTGTCAAGTCTGGAATGGCAAAAGGTGGTAACGTTGTTTGATCGGGTGCAACATGAGCAAATCCGACCCTCAGTGCTCCGTGCCAACGTCCAACACTTTGCTCGACTCGCAGGCACACCTTTTCCTCTATTTTAACCTGTCGCCCGCTAAATGTCAGTCCGTGGCAGAATGACGAAACATCCCTAGTCACCTGACGACCATCTTCACTCAACGTTATTAGACGACCCTTCACAGCTGAGTGGAAAGAAATCGCTTTCAGGCTCCACGACGTGTGACACACGCACTTCACTTTCTCTGGAAAAGAAAAAAAATCTGGCATCAACATATTTTCCCAATATATGTAGGCTTATACTGAATTGCCAGTTGGTCGGATCCATTAATCATTATTTTAAGCTAACCGGTACAGATAGGTCAGCCTGGTTCAATAATACAAGACTGCATCGTTCCAAGCGCGTCAAAAGTAAATTTGGACAGAACCAAGAATTTAGTTTAGTTGTCATTCAGAGATTACTGTTAAGGGGAAAGCAAAGTTTCAATTCTCTACCGGCATCAGGCCACTAGATGCCGCCGCTACGCACCAATATAGCCTACCAGTTTGAAAAGATTTCTTGACGCAACACACAACAATCACTTTCCAGTACTGCGCGAAACTCTTAATAACAAATAATATTAACAATAATCGAATTATTTATTGACAATTAAAATATGTGATCTGCTGTAAATTGATTTGTTAATGAAGCATAAAACTTAATTCTAAATTACTGTTTAAACCCTATCTCATTGTCTTATTTCTGTATTGTTGTTTACAAGTTACCATTGTCTTATTTCAAAATCTTACCTTTCTTTTTTTCTGTCATCCTGTTTTCTTCACTAGCTATTGGTATGTTCAGTAGCTACCCTTCATCAAATTCTGTCAAAGTGGGGAGTTTTGTTGCTGTTTAAATGCACGTGTTGTAGTTTATACTATTTCATCTCATAGGATAATGATATGAGGAGGGACTAGGGGCGGATCTCTGGAAAGTTGCTTTGTGGAATTGCCTTCTTTCCGGGAAATCAATATTCCTTAATGCTGCATATGATTAATGCATTCAAAGAAAAAAATAAAATTTTATATATATATATATATATATATACACACACACACACACACAAATGTGCACTGTAAAAATGCTGGGTTCCACACAATTTATGCATACTGTCCCAACACAAATCGATTAACTTAACACTTTTAACAAATTTATGTGGATTGAACATTAAGACATTAAGTTGTTCCTATGAAATCTTAAGAATTGCGTTGTTTCAGCTTATTTTAATTAAGTAGTTTGAACAAGTAAAAAAGTTTTTTTTTTTTTTTTTTTTTTGAGGTTGGATGTTTCTATGAGTACGTTTTCACATTTCCATATAGGCTACCTTAATTTGATTTCCCCCATACATTCATAATTTAATATTTTAGACAATTTTCCTTATAGACAATTTATTGATATATTTGTAACTACATTTTTATTTGTTTTGAAGTATATTATCAATCAAAGATGGACAGAAAAAACAAAGAATCTTGAGTTGCCATCATTTACTGTAAATTGCTATAGACTGTTGCATCGGTGTACTTTCACTTTCACTCTGTTGGTTAATCATTACTTGATTTTGTAGAACGGTTTACATTTCCTGCTGTATTCCTGCGGTTACATACAATGCTGCATTTTTTATTTATTTAGGCATTTTTTAAATTAGAAAACTTATTTAACATAAACGGACATGCAATATAGCTATAACTTACCGTTTTTTACAATTGCTATGACACTTTTATCAATACATTTAACAAGTTTCCTAAACTCTTAACACGGTTAGCACAACATCCGTCTTCGTGGGCTATACAATTAACACATTTCTTGTTGTTTTGACACAAAATGCATCCAGTTAACACAAATTTAAAATGCTTTAACTTCTTTTACACACAAGCACAACCAAGAACAAAACAATGTAATTTTACAGTCAAATTTACAAATGCTTTAACACAGTATGTCAGAACAGATAACATTATGCTCTAAACAGAAATTATATAGGATAAAGTCAAAAGGAACAGCTGTTCTAATTGTGAATTGAAACACAAGTTTATTCCCTGTATTTTATTCAATTGCCAATGAGAAACAGCATATTGCGGTTATATAAATAAATAAATAAATAAATACATAAATATATATATATATATATATATATATATATATATATATATATATATATATATATATATATATGACAGCTGATTCCCATCTAGAAAGCACACTCATGTCTTGTTTTGGTTTTTCCAATCACATGATCATATGTTCTAATAGAGGACTTTTGAGGTTTTTGAAAGGAACATCAAAGAACTCTGTCACCAATACCTGGAGTATAAACCTGGAGTTCATTAGTACATACAGTACATATACAGCATTTGCATACACTGTGTCTAATTACTTTCAGAGAGTCATGAAGTTAGAGGCCAATCAAGTACCACATGAAATTTTCAATGTTGACAAGGCTGGGGATGTCGCCATAGGAAAAACATAATAGGCCAAAGGGCCACAGTTACCGTGCCGGGCCACAGAATATATCAAGTATAATGTGGATGAGAACATGTGGCAAAAGACCGGGCAGTATAGAAGATTACTTTGTTATTTTATTATAATTGTGGTGCTTTTTCTGTTTGCAGTGATGTCCTTCTGCAAAAAAAGTCTGTACTGCAGAAATTCTGTGTCTGTATTTTTTTTACATAAACTGTAAATTTTATAAAGCAATTTTTTTTCTTCGTTTTGTATAGATTTTTTGCCTTAAACGAAAGAAAATGCATGCATTTACTTAACCCAACGAAACAAAACTGTAACGAGACTTCAAATATAAGGGCAGAGCTGACACATAAACTAATGGAGTTTCTGTAATGTCAGCTGATGATAGTGTTTTTATTGTCAGTGTGTTCTGATTGACTGAATGTTTATGTTGGAAGAGAACATGTGTTTGTGTTTTGAACAATAATTTCATTTTGAAACATGATTGCAGTGTTTCGTTAGACATGGTGTAGCGTGTTCGTTTATTAATGTATTTTGAAAAGTAGTTTAGAGGTTTAGTTTATAATGTGTGATTTTGAGCATGAAATTAACTGTTTTGCCAATTGTGTATTTTAGGTTTGTTGCTGCGTTAAGAGTTTAGCAAACTTGTTAAATGTATTGAAAAAAGTGTCATAGCCATTGTAAAAAAACTGTAATAAATTCTACATATTTAGTTTTCTAAAAACAGGCATATCCAAGCTTCAATGGCCCTTTTTTACTGTCAGTTTAAAGATTTACGCCAATTACTTGGTCAACAAGGCCATATCTAGAAAACTAAGTATTATTTCACTTTCAGTTTGAGTGTTTGTGTCAAGGTTACTATATTTATGATATGCTCAATCATATTATTACCTCGTTTGAAGTAATGAACAAAACAAACGTTTGTAAATTTCAACCAGTGTGCTTTATCTTTTGTGAGAAGTGTAAATGGAATTAATCTTTAAATATAGTGGGTGTTCAGCAGTGGTGGGCAATAAATATTTTTACTTCCTTGTACTTAAATCATAAAATACAGTTAAAAAACAACCAAGATTCAGGGCCTATCCCCTTTTCCCTCTTTTTACCACAAACACGTGTGCCAAGACTATCTGTCATAATGAAAGCAAAAGTATGAGTTCATCTGATCTCAATTGCCACCTCTAAAACATGTGACTTTTTTTTTGTTTTGACATGTTTGGTTCTTCAACCTTTATCAAAACATTTACAATCTTAAAATCATAAGACATTTTAAATATCTTTTGTAGCAAGTATTATGTACTAGAACATAGGATTTAATCTTTACATACATTTTGTATTCAGCAGTGGTGTACATTTGTTTTTACTTCACTTACAACAACTGAGATCCAGTGCCTATTTTGTTTTTATTTATTTTGACCACAAACAAGAAGAACACTGCAAGAATAGTAAAAGCAAAAGCGTGAGTTCACCCAATCTCACGTGACATCTTTAAATAAATTGATTATTTTTTTCTTTTGACATGTTTGTTTTTTAATCTTTGCCAAAACTAATAACATCTGAAAAACATACGATAATTTACTTATGTCCTGAAGCACATACTGTAGAAGATTTCCCTTATATCACCTTTCATTATTTATTTTAAACCTGAACCTTCTCTATGACAGAAAAGAACTGGTTGCCCCAGATGAGCTTTACTTCACATATGTTCACCATATGTTTTATCTTTATTTAAGCTTATCTGGCACAATCTATGTTTTAAAAAGCACAATCTATGTTTTAGAAAACACTATAAAAATAAACACAAGTCGGATTAAAAGTTTGAATCTTGGACTAATTGTCTCTATAGATAGGAATTGTATGCTGTGAGTTTAGAGGTAGGGGACAGAATGTTTGTACAGTATAAAAATCATTACCTCTATGTGAATTTACCTGCTGCAAAAAGGTGTGTGTGTGTGTGTGTGTGTGTGTGTGTGTGTGTGTGTGTGTGTGTGTGTGTGGGCGTGTGCATGTGTGTGGAAGATAGTCCAGAACTATTAAAACTCCAAAACTACTTCAAAACTATAAAGTTGTTAATAAATTAATTCATGCTATCAATTATTTTATTGTATGTTAAGACATTTTTAATATACATTTTTACTAATTTAAAAAGTCCATTGCTCACTGAGACTTAACACCCCGAGACAACAATCATAGGCCTCTATTTTAATGATTTAAGCACAACGTTTAAAGCGCAGACGCAAAACTATTAAATGAGTGTCTGAATCTACTTTTGCTATTTTAAGGACGAAAAAATAAGTTTTGCACCTGGGTGCATGGTCTAAATGGTTGTGCTTATTCTCTGAATGAGTTACTGTATGGGTGTGCTTCGAGCATAATGTGCTTTAATCCAATCAGAGTCTCATCTCCCATACCCTTTAAGAGTCAGTTTCGCCGCACAATGGTGCATTTTTCTATTTACATGGCAAACTTGGTAAGTGTAAAAAAATGAATGCTTCACTGGCGAGAAAAACAGTTAAACATACCATCTGCAGTACGAGATAATGGAGAGCCTCCTCCATTTAGCCCCTTTTTTCTGTTTACTTTACCTTCACTTTTAACTTTACTCATTTACTTTCATTGAGTAAGGAAATAGTGGTGCACACTCTACTAAAGACATTCATAGCCTCTGGACTATATCAGTTCCTCAAAATAGCACATCAAAAATGCACCTTAACCAGTGATGGTAATAATAGGGCTATAAATTAACTCCTTTACTAATGGTGATTATTTTTGCAGGTAACAAGTAATCAAATAAATTACTGTTTCCCCTGTAACAACGCTGTTGCCATTACTAACCATAAAATGCCCGTTACTATTATTGAAAACACTCAGTTTTCATGAAAGTACAGTAGCATCTTTCTCAGCCATAGGAACTCTGTTTCTCTGGGGTGTGTGTTAGGGGCTAAGGAGGGACACATAGCCACCCAGTGATGGTGATTGGTGTGTATGTGAACGTGGTGTAATTGAGAATGTTATGATTGGCTTAAATTGAGTAAGTTTCCATTGGTTGCCAATCAGTGACGGAGTAGTGTGGCCGTTCACACACAAGCACACACACAAGGTCAGTCGCACATACCAATGACCAGATGTCAGAACGATAACAAATCCAAGTTCAAAAATAGCTTTTGCAAACTGAAAATATAAGCATCCTCATTGGCGTGAAAGGCAAGAATATTTATATATTTATATATAATAATTAGTTAGAAATTATTTATAATTATTTAGAAATTATATAATTATTTATAATTATTTAGAAAATGCAGCATGTTTTTGTAAATCGTTTGCGTTTTGAAAGAATGCAAAACATTTTAATTAATGTGTATGCTTTGTGTGGATTTGTAGCACATGTGCTGTCAAAAGGATGATCAAAAGGAAAAGATCTTTATTTAATTTTCTGGTGTCTTTTGTAATTGCATGTGTTTGTTTTTTATGAATTACAGCATGTTAAGCTTTCTCTGCCATCATACAAGTTAAACTTAAAAAAAAAACTTTAAAAAAGATGGAGAGTTTTTTTTAAGATCGGAATTTTTAAACTTATCAAAAGTAAAAAAAAAAATAAAACAAAAGTGTAAAAAAATACAAACTACACAGCAACTTATGTAAATAGTTATTATTATTGATTTATTTTTTTAAGTGAAGATAAAGCGTCAAACAAGGTTTCCATACATTCATTCTAATAGGCTGTTACGCACAAATGGTTGTGAAATTTTTGTGGGCGTTCCCAGCAATGCCGACCAAGTCCATGGGTCACAGGAGAGGTGGGCTGATGAACACTGGCATGGGTTAGATGACATCATGTACAACAAACAACAGACAGCAGTGTGCAGGTGCTCTGTGTTTGACCTAGATAATTTGTCTAAATAAAGTTTTCATGTGCTCAGGTTAGTAGTAAACACTATGTAGGGACCCTGTAAGTCTGAAAACAGTTCATGCATGAAACAGTGATCTGTCCAGCTGGTTATCTAAGAACAGTTTGGTAAAGAAAGAAGAGGAACTGAGAAGCACTGATGTAAGAAACTCTTAATTCTCACCAAATACTCTGGCAATGGCAAATAGCTTTTGTTCAAGTTTTAATTTGATTAATTTAAGCTAATATTTACAAGTTATTTGTAACTTTTAATAAGCAAAAACTGCTGTAAAACACCTTAGTTGTTAACACCTTAAGTGTTATTGAACAACTTTTGAATTTATTGTTTCATATGAGATGTGAATAATGGTTAGAATTTTTTTTATGTTGTCCTGCACTATAGGGTGAAAAAGTGTTTGCTTCTTTACTGGTTTCTTTTTATTTTTTCTACATGTTTGTCACACATTAATGTTTAAGATCATCAAACTAATTTAAGTATTAGTCAAAGATAACACAAGTAAACACATCTTGCAATTTGTAAATTAAGGTATTTATTATCAACAGAACACAAGATGCTAAACTACATAGATACTGTACATAACCCCGACCTCCAATTGCAATCAAGAAATCACTAAATAGGACCTGCCTGACAAAGTGAAGTAGACCAAAAGGTTTTTTAATGCTAGTCATTTTAAAAAACTATTGAAAATAATTGAGATCTATCAATCTAGAAAATGTTATAAAGCAATTTCCAATTATTGAACAGTAAAGAACCTTTTTAGTTGTGACTGGCTGACCAAGATTACCTCAAGTGCGTAGCAACAACTGATCCAAGAGGTCACAAAATACCCCACAACAACATACGAAGAAATTCACACACCACTTACCTTAGTTAAATTGAGTGTTTATGACATAAATGGTTGTCTAGGTTTGCCAGATAACATCTTGATAATCCCCAAGACAATTGGGAACTCTCTGTTGATTGACAAAACAAAAGTTGAGTGTGTGTCCTGTTATGTGCGATGTAAACGTAACACTGCATTTCAAAAATAGAACATCATATCAAAAATTAAATGTGGTGGTAGTTGTGTGATGGTTTGGGGCTGTTTTGCTGCTTGATGACCTGGAAGACTTGTGTTATGCTAAATGGAACTAGGAATTATGCTGTGTTCCGAAATATCTTGAAGGAGAATCTGTTGCCCTTAAGCTAAAGCAAACTTGGGTTTTGCAGCTGGACAATGATCCAAAGCACACCAGCAAGTCCGCGTCTGAATGGTTAAAGAAAACCAAAATGAACACTTTACAGTGGCCTAGTCAAAGCTAGAATTCAATCACCTGAATTAAATTGAGTTGCTGTGGTATGACACTTCAAAACCCTCAAATGTGGTTGAATTACAACAATTTTGCAAAGATGAGTCAGCCAAAATTCCTTACTCCATACAAGTTGTCAAAAACTTTTTTTTCCTATAATAATAATAATAATAATTTTCATTTCAAAACTGCATGATATGTTTACTTGTATTATTTTTGATGAATGTTTAAATTTGTTTAATTTGTTACGGACAATTTAGCTTATCCAATTCCCCTATAGCACATGTCTTTGGACTTATGGGGGAAACCGGAGCACTCGAAGGAAACCCACGCGAACAAGGGGAGAATATTTGAAGCCTCTAAGTGAATAAAGAGACTGGTTTCTTTTATTTCTTGTCTCAATACAAGGCCAAGTTCAAGTTAAGACAAGATCAGTTGCATAATTTCCCTTTGTTGTAATTTTCAAAACATTGACAACCTTTTTCAGGTTCAGCTCCTGAGCTTGGCATTTGCCTTTTTTAAGGATGCTTTCAGTATGCCTGCTTGATCTTGTTGTCGTTGTGCAAGGAATGAATGATCGGCAATATTTTGCTAATAGTGAGATTGCTCATCTCTAACACCACCAAGTCCAAAAAAAATAAAAAATCCCCTATTAACCTATTTTCACTGGTCTACTGATATATTTAAATTACTCAATGGGTTCTTGTAAATAATATGTATAAAACTGTGTGTAAAAAACTTACAATACATGTAAATGCATTAATTTATGATAATAACTCATACAATGATTTAAAGTGATTAAATTAAGTCAATATGTTAAATATGTTACTTAAGAGTTTACTTAAAGCTTTAAACATTCACCCCTCAAGTTTTTTTTTTTTTTTTTATATATATCACAAATGTCGCATGGGAAGTGTCAAATTATCTACTAAAAATGTGGTTTCACATATACACATTTTTGTTGTGTTATTATATTTTACATGAATTAAATAATTTTATATCATTGTAACACTACTCTCTATAAAATGAATCAGTCCAGAAATTCACAACAAAAATATAGCACTCACCAAGCTAATTCTTATTCATTATCCACAACGCCACAAATAAATTGATGAGCATGATGATGTAACTGCCTTCCCAAATGACCATGAAAGAGGACAGAAAATCCAATTTCCTTGTTATGCCTCTTACCCGCTCCTCCACAGCCAGAGCAGACACCGCATCAAAAAGCAACTTATTTTCACCCAGACTTTTTAAAAAACTATTAATCAGATGACAACCAATCAAAAGCTTTCCTCCTGCAACAGACCAATGAGAAGCTCGAGACGCTAAGAACTCAACCAATCAAGGAAGACTATTCAAATATTGTCCATCATTATGAAGAAAGTGCCATTTTGGTGTAAGGTACATTTTGTTAAGGAAAGGAAAGACCTAGTGCACTCTCACTTTCACAGATGTCCCACTACGGCATCCATTATGGACTAGTTAAAGAGTTGAGAAGAGGGGTGAAACAGACTCTCACCTGACCTTTGAGGCATTTTGAACTCTGGGTTAGATGAGGATCACATTGAGCCCAGGAAATACTTTAGATTTTTAAACAGAATATTGTCGGGCTGTGTTAACTTAGAACTGGACTAGGCACTTCAAGTGCAAGTGATGCCAGGACCTTGGTAAAAAAAATCTGCCTGGAATCAACATTATCATCACAGGAAACAGAAGAAGCGCACGCTGGTTTCCATGGAGTCCAACATCTCAGGATCCTTCCTCTTTAACAACAGCTTGAACCAATTTCCGTCAGACATCAAGGCCCCGGTGTGCCAGTACTCCATTCCCAACTCCTTCTACAAGCTTGGCCCTGCCAATATCAACTCACAGTTACAGGCTGGCACTCCGCATGGCATCAGTGACATTCTGAGTCGATCCATGGTGAGCGGTCCAGGAACCCCTGCACTATTGTCTGGGTACCCATCCATGGGTGGCTTTGGAACAACTGTTCCCAGTCCGGGGGTGTATTATAATCGGGATTACACCCCATCAGGACTGAGCACTTTTCCTAAACCTGTTGTCGAATGTGCAGGTATGAAGGGTAAAAGCAGCAGCTGCTGGGTGGATGGAGGGTATGAGTGGAGAGGCGCGAGACAGCAGTGTGGCAACAGTAAGTCTGAGCTTTGATTAAAGTATCATGTGTGGTACTAACAATGTAACATTTTCCTTGAATGCTGGTTAGTAAATATATCCATTTTCCTTATTTATGTGTGCATTCATTTATATATACATTTGTAATAATTTACTTACTGTCCACTAGTTCTAAACCTGTTCTGTTGAGCACAAAAAATGTTTTAAAAAAACTTGTTTAACCGGTAGTCATTGATTTCCACATATTTCCCTATAAATGTCAATAGTTACCAGTTTCCAACATTCTTAAAAATATGAATTTTTTGTGTTCAACAAGAAACTGGTTAAGAGTTAGAATCACTTAAGGATCTATCTATCTATCTATCTATCTATCTATCTATCTATCTATCTATCTATCTATCTATCTATCTATCTATCTATCTATCTATCTATCTATCTATCTATCTATCTATCTATCTATCTATCTATCTATCTATCTATCTATCTATCTATCTATCTATCTATCTACTGTATAGAAAAATTTTATTAAACAGTTATCACCATTAAAATAAGCGTTTGGTCACATAACACCTTTAGAAATAGAAGGACAATACATTTAAATGCAATCAAGTTCAAAATCTCAACTAAACTTATTATTATTTTTTATATATATCTAGATTTTTCCAGTTTATAGATATTTTATTTAATATTTTTTCTAAACATATTACTTTAGTGTACACATTTTTGGACTGTGACCTGGTTTTTTTCTGTGAAGTTTTTTTGCTATTTTATTTTTAGTTTGGGCTTTGGTACCGACTAGTCTAATGTATATGCAAAAATAAATTAGTTTAAAGCATCCTATAGAAAAGTATTAAATTAAAAGAGAGATAATAAGAAAGATAGCATTTTAACATTTGACTTTAGATTAGGTGAGGAAAACAATTTAGATTGATAAGATGGGGTTGAAATTGGGTGATTTTATAGTGTATACATACAACTGACTATATATGACATATATTAAATTTAAGTGAAAAAAATATAAATAATTTCATCCTTTCAAATACTTCATTATGTTAAGATATGGGCATAAAATATACTGAAATGTAAATAAATAATATTAAATATATAAAAATGTACCTGTATAACAGAAAACTTTATATGCATTTTACTGCATATCGTACTGTGTATGACGGTGTATATGACAAATTAAATTTTACATTTTAAACATCGCAAAATAATACAAATAAACGATCAACTTGTTAATTTTTGTTAAGTTCATTTAAGTTTATTTGTATAGTGCTTTTCACAATAATTATCAGAAGGGATAATGTGTTCTGTGGACAATACAGCTGTCAAGCATTCAGTTAATGTGCAATTATTCAATAAAATGTTTTTTTGAAAGATGTGAAATCTACATACAATATATTTCTGAGAAAGAAACATCTTAAATTCTATATTACCAGATGTTGTTTTTTTTATCTCTTGAATTCTATAGTCTTAGAATTTGTCATCTCTTTATTTAAAATTTTTTTTTGTTCCATAAACAATTTAAATAATGTAACTGAATGAATTATATGTTTGTTTATTTCTGTTTCTGTTTATTTAAGTTTATGCTTGATCCATTTGATCAGCATACATGTCACAATGTTCAGATAAACTGATTGTCAAAGTTGTGTGTTTTATCCATAGATATGGGGCATAATCCTGAGAATGTGGGGAAAAAAAAGCACACACGACCTACATTCAGTGGGCATCAGATCTTTGCTCTGGAGAAAACCTTTGAACAGACCAAGTATTTGGCAGGACCAGAGAGAGCCAGACTGGCATACTCGCTAGGGATGACTGAGTCACAAGTTAAAGTAAGAAAACACACCTAGCATTTTATGGTCATTAACATTTTCCAAGAAAAAATGTATAATGAATAATAGTTGTGTAATGGATAAAGTTGGTTAAGTTGCAGGGAGGTATCCCTGTCGTAAAACATTATCAAAGAGATAATTTATTTCATTTATTTATCATTACAGCACAAATAACAGCACCATGTTGATCATGTTTTTTCGTCGCAGGTGTGGTTCCAGAATCGGCGTACTAAATGGCGGAAAAAGAGCGCAACGGAGCCCAGTTCCACACAGACCTCGCGTGGGGAGAGTGCAGGAGACGGGTCGGAAAATGAGGTGGAGGACGAGGAGTACAACAAACCTCTGGACCCCGACACAGACGATGAGAAGATACGACAGCTGCTGCGCAAACACCGCAGAGCTTTCTCAGTACTGCGCCTGGGGCCACACCATATCTGAATGCGAACTCATAATGGGACAACATGCATATCCATTAATAAACCCGGGATGTCTGAAATTATACAAATAAACAGTGATAAATAACTGTTATATAACTTGGTACCACTTTCTACTAAGCCTATTAAAAAAAGGTCTACCATTTTTGCCAAAAAAGACAACTATTATAAAGTGGTAGAAAAAAACTGAGAAAATGCATCCGTGAATTGGCTGCTTTTCGTATTTTGTGATTCATGTTTTTTTTCTTCCTCTTTATTCATGCTTTTGAATCGCATTATTAGACCTTGATCATTTTTAAAAAGTTAGAAAAGGTGAGTTGGTGTTGTATATTATGGTAGCCTACAAAAACCATGTTATATTTTCTGTTTCAAATTTATATTATTTCTTACACATATTATTTCAAAATAGTAAAATGTCAATAAAGGTCATTTAGTGAAACTGTAGAGTTTATTTTAAATATCAAAAGTCGGCAGAGCATATATCAAGCTATCCATAATGCAATTCACAATCATAAATAAACAGACAACACAACATACGGAAACTGTTAATTAGGCTAACATGTTTTTTTTATTGTGTAGGCTAACTGGAATTGTAAATGAGGATATAGCAACTAGAAAAGGCAGATTTATTGTGTAAAAGTCCACATTTTTCACATGAGAACACCGCGGGCCGTGACAATGTGTGTCGAGATTTGCAAGTAATTTAATTCCATTTAATATGATTTTCTATTTTTTTATTTCTTATATTTTTATATTATTTTATTTTTAACGTATGGCATAAACACACTGGTTTGACCGTTTACTGACATTTGTGAATCATTTACTCATTGGCTGTAATGAATAAAAAGCTGCAAATGAATCAAAATTCTTTCACATTTGTGAAATGTCAGGGTATACAGATATTCCCTTAATGATGCAAAACATTACAAAAAATATATATTACAAATTTAAAACGTGTATTATCTGTAAATGAATTATGATGGAAATGCTCAATAAATATCTGTTTTCAGTGTTGAGTTTGTCCTGTTATGTTGAAAACTACAATCTTTTTTATCCTTACATTTGCAAAAAATAAATTTTAAAATGGTAAAAAATTCTGCACTCAGATTATAAAAAAACAATTCGTTTTAAGCATGTTAAGATAAGGGTTTAGCTTTAGCCTCCTGTCGAAAAATGCCACTGAATGTAAAATTACCTCTGATAATTTAAAAGCAAATCAGCAAGCACTTGATTTGAAGTGGTCATTTGTCAACTGTCAACTAATGGCTCCTTTCAGACCAGTTGTCTACAGGGAGAGATTAGTCAGATCCAAGATCCTTTAATCTACATCACATAGCAGATGGTTTTGGTGTGTGTGTGTGTGTGTTTGTGTATACTCATCTTAACTGCACCTCAATTAAAAGGACTCATAATGATTATGACTATGATCAATTAATGTAAACTGACTCAATTTGAAACAACTGACCAGTCATTAATCGATCTTCCCATTAATCCATTAATGCAAATTCTTAACAACAGCTGCGCAATTTTAAATGTTAATAAAAGCTCAGTATATTAGGATTCATAGTGTCTAAAAAACAAACAAACTGGTCCTTCATTTTCGTGACTCCAGTAAGTCATATATATCTTTTTAAATTTATTTTCTTTTTAAATATTATTTTTCTTTTTAACTATTTCACAGTATGTCTGACAATATTTTTTCTTACGGAAAAAGTCTTTTATCTGTTTTATTTCGGCTAGAATAAAATCAGTTTTTAATAATAAAAAAAAAACATTTTAAGGTCAAAATTATTAACCCTTTTAAGCATTTTTTCGATATTCTACAGAACAAACCATCATACAATAACTTGCCTATATATTACCCTAACCTGCCTAGTTAACCTAATTAACCTAGTTAAGCCTTAAATGTCACTTTAAGCTGTATAGAAGTTTCTTGGTCATCATGGTAAAGAAAAAATAAATCAGTTATTCAAAACGAGTTATTAAAACTATTATGTTTAGAAATGTGTTACAAAAAATGTTCTTTCCATTAAAAAGAAATCGAGGAAAAAATAAACACGGGGGCTAACAATTTAGAGAGGGGCTAATAATTTTGACTTCAACTATATTATATATATATATATATATATATATATATATATATATATATATATATATATATATATATATAATTGAGGTCAGAATTATTAGCCCCCCCTTTACATTTTATTTTATTAATATTTCCCAAATTACGTTCAACAGAGCAAGGAAATTTTCACAGTATGTCTGATAATGTTTTTTTCTTCTGGATAAAGTCTTATTTGTTTCTTTTCGGCTGGAATAAAAGCATTTTTAATTTTTAGACACCATTTTAAGGATAAAATTATTTGCCCTTTTAAGCTATATATTTTTATAGATTGTTAGTCTACAGAACAAACCATCATTATACAACAACTTGCCTAATTACCCTAACCTGCCTAGTTAACATAATTAGCCTAGTTAAGCTCAACGTCACTTTCAGCTGTATAGAAGTGTCTTGAAAAATATCTAGTAAAATATTATTTACTGTCATCATGGCAAAGATTAAATAAATCAGTTATTTTATATTCATGTATGTGTGTATATATATATATATATATATATATATATATATATATATATATATTTATATATAGTTAAAGTCAGTATTATTAGCCCCCTTTTGAATTTTTTTTTTCTTTTTTAAAGATTTCCCAAATGATGTTTAACAGATCAAGGAAATTTTCACAGTATGTCTGATCATATTTTTTCTTTTGGACAAAGTCATATTTGTTTTATTTCGGCTAGAATAAAAGCATTTTTCATTTTTTTAAAAAAATTTTAGGGACAAAATTATTAGCCCCTTTAAGCTTTTTTTTTCTGACAGTCTACAGAACAAACCATTATTATACAGTAACTTGCCTAATTACCCTAACCTGCCTAGTTAACCTAATTAACCTAGTTAAGCCTTTAAATGTTACTTTAAGCACGTGTCTTGGAAAATATCTAGTCAAATATTATTTACTGTCATCATGGCAAAGATAAAATAAATCAGTTAATAGAAATGAGTTATTAAAACTATTACGTTTAGAAATGTGTTGAAAAAACCTTCTCTGAACAAAAAATTAGGGAAAAATTAAACAGGGGGCACATAACTCAGGGGGGGCTAACAAATCTGACTTCAACTGTATATCATCAATACCTAATTTTGAACAGATTTTATCATTTGATTACACTTCAATATATCAACATGCTGCAAATTCTTCTTTTAGGAATAAAAATCCACAACGCTCACGAATATATACAGTTTATTAAGAAATAAGACAGCATATTTAAGAAAACATTCATTGGTGCAGCAGAAGGTAGTACATCAAGATGGTCTTCACACTGTTTCATGTCAATTCAACTTTCCCCACCTACTGAGGTATGATTAGAGTAAATGCACTGCAGCTACTGTATCTACTGCATGTTACCACTGTTACAACAGATCTACAAAACACAAGCTTAGACAAATATCATAAAACTTTGAGAAAAAAAAATCTTTATTTTGAGGAAATAAAAGAATATTTGGCACAGTCTCAAGTATTGCGTACATCATAAGTCACTATATAGAGTGGAAAGTGAATTTTTAAGTGTGAATATGACTGTTTAAGCAAGATTTATGCATATGTTTACTCTGAACGACCTATAATTTCCTAGTGGCAAATCTAATCCTATCGACAAGTTTCCCCCTGGCCAAGCAGTATGCCATTTATTTTAGACTTCTCAAAACACCATCCATCTTCTGGACAAACACAGTTTTCAATGGTTCTGGGCTCACACCATAACAATGCTTTAAAAACATTGCCTAACATTCTAAGACATACGTAAGAAATAGGGACAAAAGACACAAAAAAAGACATTTAAAATAAGCTACATGATGATTTTACAACTGCTCTGATGTATCTCTTTTATTATTTATGGTCTTAAATTGCTCACCGTAAAGTAAAGTAAGCCCCCAAAAGAAGTGCAAATATGAATGGCTACACATGTTTAACTTAGCATGCTAACAACAGTGAACATAAATCTTAAAAGACTGTAGTGTTTGTGTTTATCAGTAAAATCTCAAATGCTAAATGACATTGACGCCGCTCCTACAGTGACTCCGTGGCCTCCTATTGAACACGGTTTGGAGAAATGCCCCCGAGAACAGTAAATTATGTTGACCATACCATGAATCAACTACAACAAGTCCATTATTGACAGGTGGGCTGCACCATTTAACCCTCACACGTAAATTATGCATGGAAGTTCAGATTCTATTGATTTAATCAATAAATTCATGTTGGGTTAAGATGTCAGAGCCTGTCATACTTTGCAAGTCGCTTGATTTTGAAAATAAATGAGCAATGTGATGTGGAGAACATTTAAAGGGGTGTTTTAGAATGAATATATTATAAATATGATTTCTACATATCTTTGACTGCTCAACATTTTGATGTTAAAACAAGATGGTTTAAAAATAACAATGCGGCCCAACCTATTTACAATTAAAAGTCAATTAGTAAAGAAAAGTAGAATATACAACAATTTACAAACCAGCCTATTACCACTCTGAATCCTACATTATGAACCTTGGTAATAGCAACTAGCTTTAAACATATTTAACGCTAAACCAACACAGATGAAAATGATAGCATGCACAGACGATTCAACACAATTACAACCATTAACACATTTCAGAATTTAGGCTCCACATTAGCATTCAACATTGCACTAGTGCTCTAATTAAAAGTCTGGGAGGCTTCCAGGCCAGGGCACTCTGGGTTGGATTTCCATAATTCTCAAGTGCTAATGGCTTAATAATTTGTCCCTTGCTGTCCTGTACATATTCTATTGATCCGAGAGTCTGACTAACAACTCCACAGAGACAATGACTGACGCTGAAAACTCACAGAAGCCCGTAAGTGCTGAGGTGAGTGTAAATGCAACAGCAGGTGCTTACGTATTCATACTCACACATCTGGAAGAGTAAAGAATAAAATGAGACTAGCTGAACAATATTTTCACAGAACAACTCCTATTAAAGGCAAATTCACACAGATGAAATGCAGATGATGATTCCGGACTGAAAGCAAAGCTTGTGCGTTGCAGCAGCTTGCGTTTGGATATGATGTGCTATTTTTTTAACAATCCTAACAATGATTTGAAGCAAACCAATGGAGTTGTGATCTTGAGTTAATATACTCGATGTAAAATCTGAAACTTGGCTGCTTATAAAAGGTGAGGAGCTGTGAGTTTGTGAGTAAAGTGTCTTTGTTATTTTCTTTGTTTTATTCCATGTTTATTTTTATATTTTTTAGACATTTCTTAAGTCATGCTGATCATGCTTGAAGTTGTTGGTAAAAATTCTGATGAGAAAACCAGACAGCAAAAAAGACAAAAAGTTGCATTTCCACTTAAGCTTGCCAGGAGATTTCAAAGGTCATGTGTGCTGGGTTGGGTAGGCGACTGTTCATTGTCTCCATGTTTAAAAGTGAGTATATTCTTGCTGTACAGTTCTTGCATGGTAAGTAGAGACGTCCAAAGAATAACCCTTGGGTAGACAATGAACAACACAAGAAACCTTGATGAAGAGAGAAATGAATTTACAAATTATATTTACATTCATCGTCTTATTTATGTGCTCATACAAACATGCTATTCATCAGTTTGATTATGTGTTTGACATATATTTTGAAAGGCTACAGAAAATAATATATGGAGGAAACAGGTCTTCAAAATAAATAATGACCAAATCTTTAAACCAATATAGTGATATTGTAAAATGTGTAAAGAGTGTAAATGTTAGCAAAGACATTCGGTTTATGAGTATGTAAAAATGTGGTTAAAAAGATATACAACCCCAAATCAGAGAAACTTGGGACAGTATGGAAAATGTAAATAAAAAAGAAAGTAGTGATTTCCAAATTAACTTTGACTTACATTTCACTGCAGACAATATGAACTAAAATATTTCATGTTTTGTCTGTTCAACTTAATTTCATTTGAAAATATACATCCTTTTCTGTCATTCAGACTTGCAACACATTCAAAAAGGTTGTGACAGGAGCAAATTAGGGCTATAAATACAGTAAATTGGTTATATAATGATGTGATTTGAAACAGGTGATATCAACAGGTGGTTGTCATTAAGATTTGGTACAAAAGCAGCATCTAGTCCTTTACGAGAAAAGATGGACTGAGAATTCCCAAATATTTAAGAAAGTTATTGAAATGCTTAAATACAATGTTCCTCAAAGACAGATAGGAAGACACTTTGGATATTTCAACATAAACAGTGACTAACATAATTAAAGGATTCAAGGAATATTAGTGTTTAAGGGACAAGGGCGCAAGCCTAAGCTGAACAACTGACAATTTCTCAGGTGGCACTGCGTCATTCATCAGGCGTCATTCATCTATAAGGGATATCACCATATGGGCTCAGGACTACTTTGGCAAACCTTTGTCACATACCACAATATGTAGTTATATCCACAAAAGCCAGTTAAAACTGTATTTTGCCAAAAGGAAGCCCTATGTTAACAGTGTCCAGAAGCGCCATCAACTGAACTCGAAGGCATCTATAATGAACCATCACACAGTGTAAACATGTACTGTGGTCAGATGAATCAGTATGTCGGGTATTTTTTGGGAGGAATGGACGCTGTCTGCTTTGGACCCAAGAAGAAAAGGATCATCCAGATTGTTACCAGCAACAAGTCCAAAAGCCAGGCTCTGTCATGGTATGGGGCGGTATCAGTGCCTTTGGCAAAGGTAACTTGCACTTCTGTGATGGCACTATTAATACTGAAAAATACATTTTGATACATTGAGATTTTAGAGCACAAAATGTTGCCTACTTTTTCAGGGTCAACTATGCATATTTCAACAAGACAGTGCAAAACCACATTCTGCACACACTACAAACTCCTTGCTGCAAAGGAAGAAGATTCCTGTACTTGACTGGCCTGCCTGCAGTCCTGACCTGTCTCCAACCGAGAATGTGTGGCACATTTTGAAGCGCAAAATGCGACAACGAAGACCTTATGCTGTTGCCCACTTTAACATATGTTTGCAGGAAGAATGGGACAAAATACACCTGAAACACTTCATCACTTGGTGTCTTTAGTCCCTAAATATATGCTTTATTGTTCCAACTTTTTTTGAAATGTGTTGCAAGAACTAAAAAATTGCAATTTGTGTTTATTTAAAAAAAAGGAACACATTAAATATTGTTTGTTGTATTGTCTGCACTGAAATACAAGTAAAAGTAACTTGCGAAATTACTATTTTCTTTTCTTATTTGCGTTTTCCATACTGTCTCAACTTTTTTTGATTTGTGGTTGAAGAAATTATGACTGATCTGTTTGGAATTAAATGTATAATATTTCCAAGTATGTTTAGAAAAGTATATTTTATTAATTCTTTCTCATAATTCCAGTGTAAAGCACTGTCACTCACATACTTGCAGTGTACATAGTTTTGTCCAGCAGTTTGATGAGTATATAGCTCTATATTGCATTTGTGCTATATTGTATTGACAGCACATCATTTGGTTACAATCTCTACATTTTTCGATTAAATAATTTTATATATTTCATATTTACATATTTTATTTTTATTTTAATCAATCAGTTCACAGAAAAAAAATATGTTATTAAGGCAAAGCTAACAAAAATGGAAATAGAAAATAAGATTTTTCTTTTCTACTATGGAAGTTAATGATTGCAGGTTTTCAGCTTCAAAATATCTTATTTTGTATTAAACAGATAAAAAAATGAATTAAGGTTTGGAACCACTTGATGGAGATTGTGTGTATATTTTAGGGTGAATTACATCTTTAATTACTCACTCTCATATCATTCCTATCCCTGAGACCTTTGTTCATCTCCAGAATACAAATTAAGATCACAAATTGAAATTAATTTAGGGTGCTTTCACACCTGTGAATCGATTCAGTTGTTACGAAACAGAGATTACAAATGTTACATTGTTGCTTTTTGCTCTTGGTGCGGTTCGCTTTCACACTGCAAAGTTTCTAATAAGACCAAAAGACCTAAAACAAGTCACGTGTGAGTAAACTCATCTCACATTGGTCAGAGTGTCAGGGTTTATTTTGCAGAGTCTCGCTCAGCTGTCAGGAGAGGTGGTGGTTTGATGGTGTTTGACAAGGTGCGCGCGACGTGTCCGAAGAGTGAGGAGAGATGCGGTGGGGAGGGGTGAGAAGGGTGCGCGACATACCCTATTTGAGGACCGGGAGGGAGATGCGAGATTACCGGGAGATTTTCACCCATTTGCGGGCATCCGGAGACTCGCGAAACTTCCCGCCAAACTCATAAATCTCTCTTCATAAAGCTGTATGCCTATTACATATCCATAAAACACTGTGATATAACTGCGCTCGGATCGCTTTCTCACTGCAATCGAACCGCTCCAGGGTTCGTTTCAATCGAGCCGAGACCACCTCATTCAAGCGATCTCAGAGCGATTACTTTGGCGCAGAACAGAGCGCGATTGCCCTGTTCACATATGCCAAACGAACCGCGCTAACTGGGCAAACGAGACACGTTCCGAAACAAAAGTGTAGGTGTGAAAGCACCCTTAATCACCCTTTATAGATGGCAACGGTCCATCTTCAGTGGTTCAAATGTAATCATACTCAGATCCAAGAACACTTTAGTGCACCAAAGAAACGACTGTGCTTGCCCATATCTTCCTCATCAAGGTGCATGTTTATTATGGCTCATATGTTGTGCTTCTGACTTTAATGGGAGTATCCTGAACATCCCAAAATGCACACTAATGACTTGAGGAGGAAGAGAAGACACTGAAGAGTTTTTTTACAATTTTTTTAGGCACACTAAAGTTTTCATGGAGCTTCGTATGATTAGTTGAACCACTGAAGTCATTTTGATGTTTTTGATTCCTTTTATGATCTTATGATGTAATAAATAGCAGAAATATAATTTTTAGATAAACTTACTCTTTAAATTATACTATTTAGGTTTTTAGTTGTCAGTTATAGCAGACTGAATTTGTTTTACAAAGGATATCATATTGATGTATTCGCTTGAATGTTAAAAAAGGTAATCAATACATTTTACACCAAAATAATTTAATGTAAAATCCTAGGATTACTTCTGTCCATAAACTAAGTTTATTTGGTTACCACTAGCTGAACAAATGGCAAACCAATTGCAATATTATACCTATCTAATGCCCAGACACGTGTAACCTATAGAACACACATAAAACTAGCAGCAAAACAAAATCCCTGCCCTAAAAACGCCAATAGGGAACAACAATGCAAGATAGATGTGTATACGATGTTTCTCTAATTAATGAACACTGGTGCTTTTAAGGTGCTGTGCAAGGACTTGTTTGTGTAGCTTAAGAGGCAGAAAGTCCTACAGACATAAATAATAGGTGTATCTTGCCTCATGCTTGATCTCAGTTGAGTGTCACAGTAAATGAGGGCATAAGGGCTGCTAATGGCTCCTTGGGGAAGATCAGAACAGAGTCCTTCAATCTGCTATATGTAACTTTTTTGGTTAATAAGCATAATTGTCTGCTACCAGTGTCATAAATACTGTAAAGTGTCTATAATAAACAGTTAAAAAAAACTGTAAACACAACAAAAAAAACAATCAAATAGCTTACCCTTTGACTTTCCCAACATTGTGTCAATGTGCATATGTCTTTAGTGGAAAAAACAGGAAAACAGGCTGGATAGAAAAAAAATACATTATTTTTTTATTTTTTTTTTTGTAAATGGTTAAAACTCTGATTCATTCATCAGCAAATCCTGACAAAATAAAATGAAGGGTATATAACTGAACAATCTAACTCACCTTGTGGTCTCCCATGCAGATGTTGGAACCCAGTGTGTCATAAACTACACTACTCTCACCTTCTCCCTCCTCCCTCTGCAGAAAACAAACATTGAATAAACAAACACAAAACAATACAAGTCACTGTTTATTTAAGTCAAACATATTGTACATATTTTTATTTGTTATATTTCTTTATGTAAGAACATATTTATTTATACTGTAAAAAGCCAAGGTTGATATAAACCCACCCGATGGATGATGTCTCTTGCACTGTGAGACATTAGGATGCGGTCACACCATGCGGGACATCGTGTGTTCATGTACTGTGTAGGTTTAGTGTAATCTTCACTGTATGGGTAACTGAAAAGTAAAAATGATCCTCACATAACTTTCTGACAGACAAACCAGTATTTAAAGACCTTTAATTACCATATTTCACACTACAACTTTGAAATGATTTTTGATGTCTTATAAGTGCAGTACACCAAACAAAAAATATTGTTAGTTAATTATTAATAACAAATGAAAAACAGTACCTGCTTTCTATTCAAAAATATCTAAAAATGTCATTTATTTCAGTGGTTATTTTTCAGCAGCCACTGCTCCAGCTTTTAAGGATGCATGTTTGAGAAAACATTCAAAAATGTTATCTTTTATTATTATATATAAATTAGTGCTAGGCAAAAATTAATTGCGATTATAAATTTTCCTACAGCTTAGCCCTTTATTCATTAGGGGTCGCAACCAACTTATCCAGCATTTGTTTTGCCCTTCCTGCTGCAACTTAGTAATGGTTAAACACTCATACACTCTCACATTCATTACGGCCAATTTAGTATAATATGAACAGTTAGGTATATAAATATTTGGACATCGACATAATTCTAACATTCTTGGACATTACATGGACATAACATTACTTTAACTGCAAACCAGCTTTAATTTGAGGGTATTTACATCCAAATCAGGTGAACGCTGTAGGAATTACAACAGTACAACAAACAGTATGTGCCTCCCACTTGTTAAGGGTCCAATATAATGTATATATCATATACAAAAATAATTTCTGTCTGTACAAAATATACTTTTTCCCAAATAGATGCATGCAAGTGAGTGCTTATACCTAAATAATAAAAATACAGTGCACACACACATACTGTATATTATGTCAAAAAAACCTTTTATTTTGGATGCAGTTTTTTTGCCCACCACTAATATACATACAGTTGTGCTGTTAAATAAATACCTGTAAAGTGTGATTTTTTTTCTTTAGGATTTTATGAACAGGAAGTTCCAATTGACAAAAGGTTTGAATACAAATTTGATTATTTTTAGATATTTACCTTTGGAGTGTTGTAATAAATACTTTACAGTCATGTTTTTAAGAAAAAATTCTAAAGCTGCGCACCTCGGAGGAAATGGGATATCTTCCTCTGTGATGACGTCATGGAATGCAGAGATCTCCTTATCGTACTTCAGCAGCTGAGAGTCATAAACATAGATAAGCAAAATCTTTTATCAATAAATATACTCTTTTATTTTTCTATTATTTAATTTCAGACAAATGTTTTATTACTTAAACTAATTTCAGACCTCTTTTCCGTTGTTTTCTCTGAACACAGCCTGGTGCAAGTAAGCAAATAACTTTGTCTCTATATGAAGGAGGACCTAGTGATCAAATGATTAAAAACAGGAACAAAACATGAGTATAAAATAGTCTAGAGGCAAAACAAAAGAGTGAAAAAAGAAAGATAAATGAATGCAGGGCATATAAAACTAGTAAAGAATGGAGAGTAACTCCAACTTTGCTGCCACATAAAATGAAGCACACGTCCGCAAGAGTGATCTAAATGCAAGCTCGCATTTTCTGGACTGGCATGAAGTCAATATCAACCCTCTAAGAACCATAAATCTGGCTGGACAGTGTACTGGATATGTCTGAGCGCACACAAAAAGAAAAAAAAAATTTATCATCTCCAGCATATAAGATCAGAGCGTTGAACATATATGCTAACAATATTTCAGAAAAGCAGGGGTCACAGTAGATTTGCTGAAGGCTTTAAAATTATGCATGCTCAATTAAATTGTAAACAAAATCAATATATGTTTATATGGTAATTTTGACAAATGCAATGCAAAATTAATATGTAGTGTTATATTTTATATATAACAAAACCTTTCACAAAAAGTAATGTACGCTGTACAAAACACAAACTGAAAATGTGTGAATGGCTCAAACATTAACTCCTTAAGTGATGTAAACAGAATTTGTAAGCTTTTTTCTTTTCTTTCTCAAGATGACTTCAAAAATTTTATTTACCTTGTGGTCATTGTCTTTCTCTTCACAAATGATTTTTTCAACCTCATTGCTACTGCCTTTTTTAACCGTCTGGATCTCGGCCGACAGGGAGAGGTTCTTCAAACAAGTAAATAATCATATTAATATTTATAGAATGTATGTGTATTTTGGTGTTCTGTGAAGAACATATCAATCAAGTCTACCTGCACTAGACTGAGTGTGTCAAGACGAAAATTGAAATCTCCAAACAGGAAGAAGGGGAGAGGGCTGTAGGTGTTATCTGTTATCCTTCAAGAGAAGAGAATGAGAGTTTAATACATTATATTGAATGTCATTTATGCTAAAAGACAGTTATTAAACAGTATATTATCAGTCATATCACCCTGCAGCCCAAGACGGGTTATTTACTGAAGCAAAGCAGGGCTGAGCCTGGTAAGTACCTGCATGAGAGACTACATGTGAAAATTAGGTTGCTGTTGGAAGCGGTATGTGTTAGTGAGGCCAGCAGGGACTGCTCAATCTGTGGTCTGTGTGAGTCCTAATGCCCCAGTAAAGAGAAGGGGACACTATACTGTCATTGAGCACCGTCTTTCAGATGCAAAAAATCCTATAGCACTTCTTGTAAAGAGTAGGGTTGTAACCTCAGTGTCCTGGCCAAATTCCCTTCATCGCCTCTTACCCACCATGGCCATACAATAATCCCAATCCACTAAATTGGCTCTATCACTGTCTCTCCACTCCACCTATAGCTGGTGTGTGGTGAGCGCTTTGGCGCCGTTGTACTGTGGTGTTGTCACATTATCCAAGCGGATGCTGCACTGGTGATGGTGTGGAGAGACTCCACCCTCATGATTGTGAAGGGTTTTGGGTGTATGGCCATACACAATAAATGTGCTATATAAATACACATTACATTACATTACATTATTTCTAACCATTATGCTTTGATGCTGTCATTTCTTATTAGATAGTTGCCCACGTGGGCTTTATTTTGGCTCTCAGTAACTTGTATACAGTTGTGACCTAAGGGAATTGGACTTGAAATAGGTATCATATACATAAGGTTGTGGGATGAAATCCCGGTCCTGGCAGGAAGTGAGGATGGGGGGATTGAATGATCATCACTCTCTCCATCTTTGATACCCAGCTAAGCAATATATTTGTCACTGTGTGTGTCTGTCAGTGCTCACACTCCTCACTCAAAATGTGTGTGCCATTGGATGGGTTAAGGCAGAGGTCTAATTTCGAGTATATGTAAAACCATTTGGGTATTTGGGCTTTAAAAGGACATGACACAAAGAGAGAAGTGCTTATAATTTAATTTTGATTATGTTCCAGAGAATTATATAAAAAAAATACATAGCTAACATTTGACAAAGAACAGCTTCCAGAATCTCTTCCAGTTCAGTGCTGGATTCGGCTAAAAACTCCTCAAAGAGCAGCTCTAACTATAATAGACCAAGCTGTGGATTGTGAGCCACAACCTGTACGTATTTTTTATTTGTTAAAATTGAGCAATTACATGCGCAGTGTCTAGAGAAAATGTGTATGTTGTAGCAAGGATGTAAACAAGGATGTTAACAATAAAAAATGCTGTTTGGCACCGTTAACAATTTTGCTATAAATTCATATTTATCCGTCAAACCCATGTGTCACAATCTTCTCTGTGTTCTACACCTCAAATAATAAACTCACAAAAATTATGTGAACGTTTTATATTACTTACACATGCTTATAACCCGAATATATATGAAAGACACTTGTCAGATTTTATTTTAGAGAGCAGACATGAGGTTCAGCTGTTTCCTCTGTCATTTTCTGTCTGATTCATGTTGATAAGCCTAACAGCTACTCTCACTGACAGTGTTTACACAGCACAAAAATGCATGTTTATAGGGGCGAGCTGCATTTCCTAGTGACATACAGTAGGTGAGAGTTCAAAATGACTATTACCGCCGCGCCTTATACCGCCGCCGTTTGAAATAACTGCCGCTCTGTTTTTAGTATATGACTGCAGCTTGTGAATGAGCCGCCAGGGGGCGCAAAGGGACGGGATGCGACGGACAGAAATAGCCTTTACAGCAGCTTTAAATATGCTACTGTGCTTGTAAATGAGATTAAACAATAAGTCAAAGCATTATAATTCCTTCATTAATCATTTAAAATTTGTTAACACACTTTATTGTAAACTTTTTAAGTGCAAAGAGGACTAGTTTTAGAAAATAGAATTGAAGAAATAAAAGACAACTAACATGAAAGCACAAACATTCAGTACAAATGAGTAGTCTTAAATAAATAAATAAAGCAGTCTTTTAGCCTAAATATAGAGAGATGTTCAGTGTTTGCTATTTTGATAGGACTAAGACAAGACATTTTCATTTATGTTTTTATTTCTGTTTTTGTTTTAATTTTCGTTGTTGATTATATTTTACTATCTTATTTTATGTCTCAACAATTGCACATAATAATAAACGAATAATGAAAACTAATTAATAATGAAAATAGGCCTAAATAAATAATTTATTTAAAGATATTGCGGCGAAACACTGAGAAACGGTCAGGGGCATGGTCTAAAGAGCTTAAGTTGAATGCTGCGTCATCAAAAGCAAATAAATAAATAAATATATTGACCTACCTTAAGGAGATCACTGAAAGTATAATAAAACTAATTTTGCCGCAGGACATAACGTAAATTAAGTCTCGCAGGTGTATTTTTAATAATTTAGTTTCAGTTCAGTTTTTTTTTTTTTTTTTTTTCAAAACGTCAATGTTCTCCTTTAAAGAAGCTATAACTGTTGTTTTGTTTTTTAATTAATGGCTCAGTATGTTTGGTATTTTAATTTCAATTTCAGTCACTTTGCATATGCGTGTGAAATATAATGCCGCATAACCGCGAAAAAAGAAGAAAAAGCTGTCAGTTAGGCCTAATTCATCAAAATGAACTATAATAAAATACAGCATGTTGGTTAATACAGGCGGAATGTGAACAAACTCAAGGTAAGGCTAAGATATGTGCTTGCTTTTTAATGCATTTAAAAAGATTTGCGGCTACTATGGTGTATAATAATGTTTTTTTTTTCTTCATTTTTTGTGTGGTAAAGGACAATGCACATTGTTATTGATGTAAACTTAGACTAAAACTTACCATTGATAAATGTGACCTAGCCTACTTCAAGCAGATAACTTAAAGTATAATAAAAATAATTTTGCCACAGGACATAAATAAAGTCCCGCAAGTTTAGTTTTAATAATTTAGTTTCAGTTTTGTTCAGTTTTTTTTTTTCAAAACATCTGTTTTTCTTTGAAGTAAAATTTTTTATTTTTTTTTGTTGTTGTTTTACTTGTAATGGCTCTCTCTCTCTTTCTCTCTCTCTTTCTCTCTCTCTCTCTCTCTCTCTGTCTCTCTCTCTCTATATATATATATATATATATATATATATATATATATATATATATATATATATATATATATATGTAATTATTTAATAATATATAATTATAAATATATTCTTAATAAACTTCCCAGCCACAAATATTAAAGAACACAACTTGTATTAAAACTGGGCGGGGATTAGAAAGAATATGATGCTTGTTATATAATTTAAAATGTTATTCCTCTTGTCCAATTTCTGCATGCACATTTTGTCACTCGCTACTCTGCCAGGAACTTCGCCGCTGGAGAGCACCTTCAAAAATCTCAATCTCATGGCTCATTCTTCACGAATATAAAATTAAAATAATGGCGCGTTAGGTTTATTGTGCATCCCGCGGGTGCAACAAACAAGAGTTGTGCATTTTAGTTTAACTTTTTGAGCGTTAAAAGCAGTTCGGTGTTAGTTTTTATTTAAATATATCAAGCCGAAACTAAACAGCGCATTCTCTCCGCCTCCTCGTTCACAACCAGCCCGACGCACTGCTGAAGCAGGCAATAGAGACACTCCGTAATTCATAATCTTAGCTGATGTTTGGGAGTCGAAAGATTATATTAAAGAGAAATGTTCTTTTAACAGTCCCGATATGTTTAATCTTTTTTTTCTGTCATTTCTCTTCAGCTAATTATATTTTTTTAAAGCCGCTTGATTCTTTTAAAACCGAAAGCAGACCCCGGCAATTGGTGTTTTTCCATAAGATACGCTTTGTGAAGTTTTTATTGTGTTTTTAAATAATTTTATTCTATTCAAAGCAGCACCTATATGCCAATTTATCCTAAAAACGCGGCATAGGAGCCATGCATGTCATGTATCACATAACTGCATTTTCCTGCGCGTGCGCGATCAATTTCTGATCCTGTTGCATAAAGGTTTTTAATTAAAAAAACAGGTCATTAATTACTTTCGATGTGCTAAAATATTTGTTAGACGAATGTTATTTTAAAAAAAGCATATGCACATATTACAATTGTAAAATAGTCTAAAATGCATGGTCTGATCAGAAATAAAGGAAATTAGTTATATTTCATTATTTAATGCATAAAATAGGCTAGTCTTTTTATAAATTGAGTTTAATTGATTTGAAACTTTTAATTGCATTTTTACGTCCTGTAAATAATAAAAGTTGCATCAGATTGATGAACACGAATCTTAATACCTGTAAACAGGGCCACAGTTACTTTTTTTTCACTGACTGGCATGAATGGCAAACGCATCAGAAAAAAAAACTGCTGAATCTCTGCGAATATTTGGTTAACGTATAAAAACAAATGTCTGGTTTATTGATGTTAGTAATGCATAGAAAAATGCAAAGCAGAATTCTCCTAAGCTCATTAACCCATGCACTGATGACAGCCAGGGAATCTGGCCCACCATTTTATTTATTAAAGGTATTATTTCATTGACCAGAACATAACCATATTTATAATATAATTAATAACCTATCATCTAAAGCAGGCAACACTCTATTCAGCTATGTTCTGTGTTTTTACGTAAAAATATATTAGTTTTGGCGAATGCTTGGAGCGTAATATAGATATTTTAAATAACACATTTAGTTCAGTTCAAAAGTTGTTGTGCATAGAAACATTCATTTTAATGCGGTTTCGTTTTTAAACGCATAGGTTTTGTTAAGCCATCCGTCCTATTTTTGGATTTTGTGTATTCATGTTTATGAAAAACACTTAAGAGTGGAGACCCCTTCCCCCTATTCATAACCAAAAGCTTGTCTGTTAGGTGTTAATGGGCATCAGTGAGGCTGAAATCATGTCGCGTTTTCACTTTTGGGCTAGTAGCTTGCAGCATGTCACGCAAACCCTGCCCCCAGAACGTCCCCGGAATTAGATGTTGCATATTGTATCTGTGATCTTAAGGAAAGTGTTAAGTAGACTATTTAAGCACAGAGCGAGTAATAAAACAGCATATATTTTGTTGCGCTCAGCAGCTTTTCACTAATAAAGCTCTTCATGTAAATTTCATTTTTCAATTTTAGCGCGTCATATAAAAACATCAATGCTTGTTTGGGGACACAGAACACACTTATTTTTGTAGTTTCCCCTGATCCGTTTTTAAAGTGGCACTGCACATTTGGTTAACAGAAAAAAGGTCACAGTTCATGCGTTCACTCACCCCAAAAATGCGCTGTTTTCATGATTTGATTATTATCATCGTATCCAAATAAATAAATAATAAATAAATAAATAAATAATATTTTAAACCTTCTCTGGTGTTTACTGTTTTTTGAGAATATATAAAATCTTTTTTTTTAACAAAGCCTTTGTAAAATGGCTTTGTTTAATATGGCTTTAAAGGTTTCATTTATGTAGGCTATAAAGGCCTACCTTGTTGCTTTTGCTTGTTTTATATTGGTTTATTTATTTAATGCGATTTGTAAATCACAGCACATTAAGTTAGCTGACCAATCAGAGCCTCTTGAAAGTGGGAACTAGGAATTATGACAGCCATTTTCATATTAGATGAGTAGCTGTACATAATCAAAGTAAGATATATATATATATATATATATATATATATATATATATATATATATATATATATATATATATATATATATATATATAAAAACATGATTTTTAACAAATGAAGCATGAGCACACATTGCTTTGGATCTTATAAACACAACCAATCCTTAAAAATAGACTCTGGACCACCCCTTTAAAAATACTGCTTGCAATTAGACCTATTATTAGATTCAATGTGAAGAAAATATATCACAATCTATCACATACACGAATACATTTTATTCAGTTTTAATTGTTTTTTTTTTTCTCTACACACTGAGGAAGGCTTTGTGTGTCTGTTTCCTGATGAATGTAAAATAAAACATCACAACAAGAAAATGCGTATGAGAGCAGATCAATACTATATTTATCTAACAGATCAACGCACCAAGAAAACAAAAAGAGTAACGCAAAAGCACAGTGCAAACTACATTTTTCAATCTAAAATGTATTCATACAAACTAATTTGAATAATTCAAGTGAATAATAAACAGCACAAACCTGTTGATGACATATCTGAGTGCTTTCTTGCGGTTTGCAGAATACACCGATGGACTAGAGTTGCAAGCTATGAGGTTGGAGGCATCATGAAACAGATGAACATTCACCAGGTCTAAGCCCCTGTATGTACAGAAATACACAATTTGACGGTACATAAGTCCTGTCAGTATCTTTGACGGATCTGGGACATTAGCTGATGAAAAGCACAGACTGCATTTATTTGTCACTCAATCTTCAGTATTCTACAATGTTCTGTTGTACTGCTGCCATCAAGCTGCTTTTAATGTGTTTATGATGACAATCTATTCCAATAACAAACAACTAACATACCATGTATGCCTTGAGTGGGAACCAAAAACACATACATGATAGACTGTAATGAAAGTTAAAAGGAGTCATCACAAAAGGTGAAAACATACTGGTTGTGAATGATCCATCGTGTCCTCATGTAGCCCTTTCTGGACCACTTGAACTGTAATAAAATCCACACACACACACACACACACACACACACACACACACACACATACACACACACACACACACACACACACACACACACACACACATATGCATGTTAAAATTAGAGGCATTTGATAGCCATTGACAGACCAAGCATGAGCCCCTGTACTTTGTTGTACTTGCCAGAAAAACAGTAGAAGACTTTGTGTTTAATATTTTAATGAACCAACAATTTCCTATGAATGCCATAGCTTACAGAATAAGACACTAAAGATATTTACAAAAAATTTAATGCAGTATTTACCAACATACACTCATCGGCCACTTTAATATTAACACCTGTTCAACTGCTCGTTAGCGCATATTTCTAATCAGCCAATCAGATGGCAAAAACTCACTGCATTTAGACATGTAGACATGGTCAAGATGATCTGCTGCAATTCAAACTGAGCATCGGGTGCCATTCCTGTCAGCTAAGAACAGGAAACTCAGGGTATAATTTCCACAGGCTCACCAAAATTGGACAATAGAAAACTGGAAAAATGTTGCCTGGTCTGATGAGTCTGATGAGGCTGCTGGTGGTGGTGGTGGTGGTGGTGGTGTAATTGTCTTGGCACACTTTGGGCCGATTAGTACAATTGAGCATTGTGCCAACGCCACAGCATACCTGAGTATTGTTGCTGACCAAGTCCATTCCTTTATGACCACAGTGTACCCACCTTCTGATGGTACATCAGCAGGATAACGCACCATGTCATAAAGTGCGAATCATCTCAGACTGGTTTCTTGAACATGAAAATAGGTTCACTGTACTCAAACGGCCTCCACAGTCACCAGACTCAACCCAATAGAGCACCTTTGGGAGATTTTGCATCATGGATGTGCAGCCGATGAATCTGCAGCAACTGCGTCATGCTGTCATGTCAGTGTGAACCAAAATCTCTGAGGAATATTTCCAGCACCTTGTTGAATCTATGCCATGAAGGATTAAGGCAGTTCTGAAGGCAAAAGAGGGTTCAACCTGGTACTTGTAAGGTATACCTAATAAAATGACCGGTGAGTGTAGAATCTCATTTAGGAAAGCTATTTCATTAAATAATGATCTATTCAATTTTACACATAAAATATTTTTAGGTTATCTGGGCACTTTCCCCCTCTTTAGGATGGAGGTTTCAACCTTCACAAGAATTTAAAATAATAAACTATATCAAAATAAACAGCCACATAATGAAACTAATACATTTTGATCACTATTTAAAAAATATTTCAATTTAATATTTAACTACACATTTTTAAAATTGGCATGAAACAGGGTTTGTGACGTACATCCAATTAAAACAGTTCTAAATTGAGAAAAAAGTAGTGCCGAACCAATTGGATCATTGGAAGTTGGATTTATTGAATCAATTGGATCATTGGATCACCTAACAAAATGGAGGAAAAATAATAATGGATGAAACAAACAAAAATGAGAAATACTCTGACAGCCCCTCAAAAAAAGCATTCCATGTGACCAGAAGAAAAGAAATCTAATTTCCCAGGGGGACGGGAAGTATATCTTAATTTAATCTTAATCTTAATTTTTTAAAGATTATGACGGCATGTTTTTTTTTTTTTTTTTTTTTATAAAAATGAAGACATACTGTTTATAACAAACACTTATATATACGAATATATAAGAAGAATAAATTTAGATTTCATGCCAACTTTAAGATTATAAAATTACCAAGTATAACTGTAATTTAAACACTTTTTGCAGCAGGATGGAAAATGAGTAATTAAACTTACTTCACAATAATACATGTTCAAATATGTTCCGTTAATTCACGAAATGGATGCTATTAATTCGTTAATTCATTCTGACTGAATTTATACTCTTATGCGTATAAGACACTGAAGTGAATGAAAATCCACTACACACACTTACATCAGGCCAAAAGTTCTTGGGAAATTTCTCTTTTTCCATGGTTGTCACTCCATCCAGCGAGCCCACATACTTGTTATGGCCAGACACAACTTTAAAATCTTTCACTACAAGAAGAAGGAATGAACAAACAAGAGATATTGTAAAGGAAAATGCAAACGTAAAACCGATTTACTAATACTAACACTGTAGGCTATAAGAGCAAGATCTGTGAGAGACTGATTTGATGGGTCACTAAATTTATTGGTCTACTGATCTTGATGGCTCTTCTATTAGACCTCTTCTTGAGAGATTATTCATGAAATGCTGTGACCATTACAAATGAAGACAAGTGAAAAAAGCTTACGAGATTATATCCAGTTCAATAAAAGACAGTAACCAAATTATTTAAAGGAGAACATTAATTTGTGTTGTTTGGAAATGTATTGCTTTGGTTATGTCAGTAAATATGATGATTTCCTTTTTGTGAGCTTTTGTGTAAAATTATTTGAATTTCATGAAATAATTTAGATTTTTACTACAAAATTTAGTTCATAAATTAAACATTTTGATCATGTAACTCAATACAAATAAAATAAATTTTAAAAAATATTGATATTTCATTCAATTTCACCATATAAACATTTTTTTTATAAAAAAGCCCAAATTAAATGAAAAATGCATTTTTAAGTAACAATACTGTTTCTCTGTTTTGATGAAATGTAAAATTTGTTCAAATACATATTATTATCATACATTAAATTCAGTATGTTTTATTTAAAATCAATAGTACAAAGTTTTGGTAATTAAAAAGAACAATATGTTCAACTAAACATCATCAACTGCTGATATTCTAAAATAATTATTTAAGCAAAACATATATTTTCCTATTACACAGCTCTCCCTGAAACAATGACAAGGGTCTCCAACCCTCCTCCTGGACAGCTACCATCAAAAACACCTGAACTAGAAGCAGGGTTGGGCATCCCTGGCCACTCTTAGACTCTTAAAAAACATACAATCTATTTTTGTGAATTCATCTGATTCAAAGAAAAGTTGTATAAGCTAGCCATTTTAGCAAAATATACCCAAAATAAGCAATCAGGACAATACATTAATAAGTATCGAGACTCTATTTACATTTTTATTGTAAAAGATTTTGCATGGAGACATGGAGTTTTGTTGAAAAAAATACTTAAAAGTATTAAAATCAACCAGAATCATTTATAGAAGTATAAATAATGTACAGCACATTTATTGAAATAAGGCTCTTACCATTGAAATCATATTGCTGGATATTCTTCAGTGATTTATGGATGAAATACATGCTTCCCAGAGCCTAAAATCAGATAAAATAATCAGTTAAACATACAATCTTTTATAATTTCAAGTGATCTTCTAAAATAAGCCCTAATAGTTTACTCGGTAGATACTGGACTGTTGATCTAGTTAGAATCAGGCCCAAACAGATTCTCAGTATTTGAAGATCGGCTCTGATTTTCGGTTGATGATGTGCTCACGTCTTAATTATTACACAATGACCTTCAATACTCTGTTATAGCAAAAAAAAAAAAAAAAAAAAAAAAAACACTTCTGGTTTTATGATACTGCAAACCTCTCACAAACACTTCTTGTGTCTTTTTTGACAGCACGCCAAATGGATTTAATGTACTAGCTGCTTGCTCCAGTGAGTGCACATCAATCCATCCCCAGAGAGATCAATACGAACTGAAAATTAAAACAATCATACAGGGATTAAACACAGGGCCCTGCTGTTAGCCCAACAAAAGCCCCATGGCTGGCAGGTAAAAATGACCTGCTGTTGAGCGATGTTTTGACATGAAGTACACCACACCATAAACACACGTTTACACAGTCATGTTTTCTTCAAATAATCCATCCCAGGAGAAAGATATAAATCTTGTGAGATAAATTATGCTTTTTTAATATGACACTGCTTTCTAGATGACCAGTCTTGAGAGACTAAACATTACAGTGGGCACATACACAAAGTGGGGACAAGGTGGAGAGAGACGAGGAATGAGAAAATGAGAAGACGGCAAAAATAACAGATTCTAAACTGTTCTGGGCTCATATTGACTGGCAAGAACTTAGATTTTTAAAAATATACAAAATGTGAAAAGGAAAAACTATGCATTTGTGCCGAATGGTAGAATTATTGACCCAAAACAAGGTACAGTCCCTTTAACTACCAGTGTGTTTGTATGCTTTTTGTAGTTTCCATTCTAATTAGCAATTAAATTCTAAAGTGCAATGAAAGTATAAATTGAAATGCAAAGTCAAAGTATAAATAGGAGAAGCGAATGGATAGATTTTCCCTACCAGCATAAATAGAAGAAGTGAACGAATAGATTTTTCCTACCAGTGAATCTTAGAAAACAAACATGCAAAGCAGACATGTGTTATAACGTCTTCACTATTGACTAAACTGCTGAAGACTTTCCACATAAACATAAACATCACCCAATTGAAGCTCTGACAGGGACATGACGGCTTTAAATTACAGAATATAGATTGCAAGTCCTCACAATTCAGTTTGTGATCATATCTCTGATATGATTAAAATATTCATACCTTAATGGAAACATGACTGTATTGTGCTGCGTTCATGGCCCACACTGCTTGATCCACAAATTGAATTTTTCCCTTTGGGTTTTAGGATTTGGGAAGGGAAAATTTTACACCACCCGATGCAAACTTTTAGGATACTGGGGATATCAGATTTGCATAATTCATATGCACAATTCTTTGGTTTGTTTCACTCACTCAAAGGCTTGACAGGCATCCCCCGCCTAGCTACATTTGCTAAGCCATGACTGGTGGTGTTTGGGTGTGGATTATTAATGGGTCAATTAAAACTGAAGAATTTGCTCTTAGGTTTAAAGGGGTGAGAATTAAAAACTCAGTGTAAAAAAATTAACAGTACATTAAACTATGAAGGTAAAAAAATAAAAAATAAAACTGTAGATTGCTGGCAGCAGTTTACCTTAAAATCAAGAAAGAAACATCATTTTGCTGTAAAACTTGAACTTACAGTACATACTGTAGACTAGAGATTTTTAAGTTATGACAGTAAGTTGGGACAGCATCTCAGTCCCAAAGTTAGGACAAGGCGCTGCAAAGACTACTATCTAGCCAAATGGGGAAACACTGTTATAATACACAAATATGAGCTACAGCCCTATTTAGGGGAGCGCTACATATGAGCAGGGTTGTTAGCTGGTAGGGAAGACCAGGTCCAGCCTGGAAGGGGGACTTACTATGGCTGACTAACCATATGGCATCAGTGAGTGGTAATGCGCATAGTAGGCACCAATCCCCAGAACGCGGGTTAATCAAGTGGACATACCAGACAATATCATGAGCCAAGCACACAACTTATCTGCTGAGTCAGGAGTTGGGGTCCTCGGAGGAACTCCATAGGGTTCACCACAAACTTACTAGCAGAGGGTAATAGGCACATGTATCTCTGGGTTAAGGAGAATGGCGCAACAAGCATTTTTAACACTGAGCCTGGTTTTCTTCAGACTGGTAATTGCATTACCCAGCAAACAGGAGGAAACTGGCTCTCAGCTGGCCCCAGGGCCTGTGCGATATGCGTTTTCCCCAGTAAGCCTGCTCGCACTGACCCTGTGCAACATTAGGGTGGATGAGAAGCATTTCTTGCTTGTTGTGCCTCCATGGCCCAACCAGACCTGAGTTTTCGAACTCACACTCCTTGCAACAGCCCCTCTTCGCTCACGATGTGGTGGATGGCAGCTTGCTGGGTAAGCATAACCTCATCACCTGGTTCCTCAGAGACATGCAATGGTTAATAACATCTTGGCCCCCTTTCTCATGCTCTGCTGGGATCATTCTGTAGCCCTTGTTGTCTGCAGCAAGGTCCATTTGAGCCACACAATTCAGTATCTTTAAGATTTCTGTCTATGAAGCCAGCTCTGCTGGTTACATTGGTATCGATCAAGAGGTTTGGGCATTTTCAGTCATCAAACCATGCTGGCTATCTGGGCAGGCCTACTCTCGTGTTATCCCGAGACCCTGGCTAAGTTATATGTGTAAGGTTTTTACCACACCTTTTGAGAACAGGTAGTGAACCTGTAAGCGGCTGCCTGTGGAGGAGGTGGACCCAGCCCTTTCACTGCTGTGTCCCGTTCTGTAGAAACTAAGCTTGAAGTCCCAAATTGCTTGCTGTGCCATTCTTCCTAACCAGATATGTGTGTGCTTCTTCTGCTCTGCTTACCGGGTTCCCCATCTGGAAAACCCTAGAGAGCTCCTCTGAAGCCCCAAGCATCCAACACGAGGCTCCATGCACCCGACCCACAGAGGAGCTGGGTGGCTGGCCCCGTACAATGTTTGTCATGCATGCTTGGTCTACCCAGGTGCTAGGTATTGGTGCCAGCTATGCGTATTACATGTCGGCGATCCCATGTGCGTCATTCAGCTACAGGGTGTTGCCCATTTCCATGCGACCGTGTCTTACCTACCAGCTAACCAGCAAGTTACATTCCTGCCGGGTCTCCTCATTGAGTAGCAGGTTGTCTCCGCAGTGTCCCGGCCCTTCGGCACTGGAATGTGTCCCCAAAGTAGTGGCATATTTCTAAAATCCCTAGACTACAGTGAGCTATCTAAAAGACAATATACAACCCCCTAAATTATTCTCATACTCCGTTAATTAAAGAGCCAAGGGACTTTTTGTGATGTTTTGTGATCAGGCTGTGCTTAGCAATTTTATCATCAAATGTGTTCTGTACACTCTAGGGCTGTGCAATTAATCGAAAATCCGATCTCGATTTCGATTTTGGCTTCCAACGATTATGAATAACCATTAATCAAGATAAACAATTATTGCATCATATACCGCCCCCTTTCCAGTTGTACACATTTGTTGCGCTCAAAAGCGCGAAAGACTGCGTGCTAGTGTGTGTGTGTGTGTGAGTGTATGTGTGCGGCACGCACACACAGTCAGAAGCATCAGTCTGCAATTGGTCTCATTCACACACTGAGACAAGCAGGGCACACACATCTACAGTCATCTTAATGTGAGCGCTTTAATGGTCAAATAGGTGTCAAAACACGGTGTTTAGTGATTATTCATATTAACCCTCATTTGTGTAATAAACAAACGAGTTGAGAATCAAAATACACATGAAAGAGAGACCATTAAAGTGACAGCGTGCGATATTCCTGCTGCCACCTGTTTTTATCATTATTAATCCAACAACAAAAGGAGAAAATCCCTCTCTGCTCTTGACTGAAGGGCTTTTGTAGCTAAAGTGTTTTTCTTACAGTGAAGATGCTTAAAGCACAGTTTGTTTCATATTTTTATTCTATTGCATTTATTTCTCTTTCCTTTGCAGGGTGGAAAATAAATATATTTGCAGTTGAAGTCAGAATTATTAGCCCTCCTGAATATTAGCAACCCTTTCCCCCCCCCCAATTTCTGTTTAATGGAAAGATTTTTTTATTTATTTATATCTGAACATAATAGTTTTAATAACTCATTTCTAACTGATTTATTTTATCTTTGCTATAATGACAGTACATAATATTTTACTAGATATTTTTCAAAATACAAGGATTCAGAATCAAAGTGTGATTCAAAGGCTTAATTAGGGCAGTTCATTGTATAACAGTATTTTCTTTGCAGACAATCATAAAATATATTGCTTAAGAGGGCTAATAATATTGACCCTAAAATGTGTTTCAAAATGTTTAAACCTACTTTTATTCTAGCCTAAATAAAACAAATTTCTCTAGAAGAAAAAAGATTAGAGGGAATACTGTTAAAATTCCTTGCTTTGTTAAACATCAGTTGGGAAATATTGATTTTAAAAAAAAATTCACAGAAGCGCTAATAATTTTGACTTCAACTGATAATCGTTTTGAATATTCATGATAACAATTACGAACAAAATAATCGTGATTATGATTTTTCCCAAAATCGAGCAGCCCTAATACACTCTCCCATAGAGTGCTTATAGACACACTTCAGATTTCCCAACCTTATCGGGAACGTTCTGGTTATGTCCGTAAACCACATTTCCATAGGCATTCATTGTCTCGTTTTCTTACTCTTCAGAGTGATTGGTCATTCTAGCAACCACAGCTGCTGTTGTTTTACATAAAATTTAACAGTTGTGTTTTTTAACAGTAAGTAAAATGCATTTAAAAGAACAAGTGCTTTTAGTTAATTATATTATTTACATCCGATGTCTAAATAAAAACTACTCAATAAAATGTTCCAGATGTGTGAATTTTATTTTTAAAATATTTGTGCAAAATTGAGTAGGTTATACATATTGTTTTTTCAGGTGTAATAATCATGACTTTTTAAACTTTTCAATCATCATTTTGTTTTGTCTTCTGTTGCAGTATGAGATGAATGTTGACTGTCAGTTAGACTGTAGGCTACACAATTTTCCTGAATGCACTGTTCTACTACTGTACTACTGTTTTCATTCATTAATTCATTTTCTTTTCAGGTAAGTCCCTTTATCAATCAGGGGTCACCACAGCAGAATGAATGTTTCATGCAATGGTTACCCTTCCAGCCACAACCCAACACTAGGAAACACCCACACACTCTTGCACACACAATCATACACTACGGCCATTTTAGCTTATTCAATTCACCTGTATTGCATGTCTTTGGACTGTGGGGGAAACCGGAGTACCCGGAGAACATGCAAACTTAAAACAGAAATGCCAACTGACCCAGCCAGAGCTCGAACAAGCAACCTTCTTGCTGTGAGGCGATTGTGCTACCCACTACTACAGTTTTAATAAATGAAAAAAAAAATACTGTCAGAATGTCAAAGTAGCTTGAGAAAAAATGATTCCCAAAGCAATTAACTGTGATTGCTAAAATTAAAATGGTAAATTTTACTAAAATATTGCAACTTTTAAAAATGAAAGCCCCGATGGCAGTGCATAAACGTACGGTTTACACACATATACTCTCTCTAACACAGCCATCAGCTGTATGAACACGCACCTTCATTCTGATTTGTCTCACATCATGTGTATTGATTTGCAATTAGTTTTCTGAGGGTTGTGAATCATCACTTGACTGGAAAGAGGGTGTGGACAAATTGTACAAATGGTGTTTAGATAAAAAAAATCACTTTTAAGTCAATACATAAATGCTGCAGTGGCCTGATTGATGAAGATTTCTGCAAGTGTGCCTTTGTGTGTGTGTGTGTGTGTGTGTGTGTGTGTGTGTGTGTGCGTGTGTGAGTGTGTGTGCGCGTGTGTGCCCATGCCTGGGGGTGGTTTTAACACTGAAAGAGACCCATGTTATAAGACAAATTTGGCTTGCCAAGATCATTTTTTTCTATGATATTTTTACATTGTCCCATAATTTGGTGGCAAAAATAAATAAAACTCAGAGGGAACAAAGGATTCACATAGAAAAAAAAAAACTCCCTAACCTAAACAGGTACACACTCTCACTCACTTGTAGACTTTCAGTTTATTTATCATGTTAGGATGAGAGGGGTCTAATCAATAGTTTTAATCTGGAGTTAAACGTATTGACTCAGTCCACTGCCTGGCCACTCCTGCACATTAACCCAGTCCATCAAGTTATAAACCAACATATAGCGTGCAAGCACACACACACAGCACCTCTCACCTTGGTGGGCTGTGAGGGTTAATACCCTGACAGACACCAACAAATTCTCTTATTTCATAGATTTTTTTTACTGAGTGATGAATGGGGTACCCCAGGACTCTTTTTGTTCTCTGGACCATCACTGGCATTAGACAGCAGCTAAAACGAGAATTTACTAGAGAAGTCAACTAAAGATGCTTTTTTGTTTTAAAATAAACAATACATACATTTTAAAACAAATTAGAATATGTTCTTTGTGTTTGCATGTTTAAATTTGATTCTGAATACTCATTTTCAATATGGACCATAGCATAATCTAATGTACATGCACAAATATAATATTGTATTATATATTATATATATATATATATATATATATATATATATATATATATATATATATATATATATATATATATATATATATATATATATTCATGAGGTGCCTATGTGTGCAATTGCTTCTTTCAAAGTAAAGGGCCTTTGACTTTGAATGCAGCATTTGAACATAATAGCCTACACTTTTAAATGCAGCCTGTGACTTGGCAGCAGAGCCATCACAAAATTGTAATAGAGCTCCACCTAGTGGACATAATACCAGCCACAGCACAACACAATGTAGTGATTTGTGTAATGGTTAGATGTTTCACTTGACCTAAATCGCTAAGAAACCAAATGGAATTACCTTAACAGATATTGCTACAACCATATTACTCACCGTGAAATTGTCCACAGCCTTGAAATGACTGTCCACATAGACACATACTCTATCGAAGTCTGCCATCTCAGAGCTAGACTCAATGGTCCTATAATCAGAAGATTAAAATAGGTTAAAATTAATATCGAAACAGAAATAATAAACTTTTTGTGATTTGTTGTTCGCAGAAAACTGAAAATTCACCCTAATTTCATTACAAACGCATCAGATTTTGTTCAATTATTCATTTAGTCGAACACAAATGAAGGGATTTACTATATAAACTAAATCTGTCCCTCAAGTCAAAGTGTCTATTCATTTAAAAACCTGCTTCAAAATGTTCATAAAGAGGTTGTAAAATAAATTCAAATGAAAGTCTTCAGAAGAGACATGGTCACTTTATATGATTAACAAATTAAATTTAGGTTTTTCATTAATTAATTTTCTTTCGGCTTAGTCTTGTGAGGCTAAGTTCTTGTGAGGCTAATCATTAACCATATAGATGCAAAAAAATTACCTCACCTCACCGAATAAAGTAACTACCATCTTATCTCCTTATAAACCTTTTGAGGAATCACACTTTTGGTTAAATAGAGTTTACTGCACAGAATTTGCAATATCCTCACCAGAAAAAGTTCTCTGCATGGCCCATGTTCACCATATAGTCCTTTCCACCAACTTCCTGAAAGTGCAGGGCGACGAAGCGTGGCTTGTACATGTGGACCGTCTATAAAGATATGATTTACATAAAATTAATTTACTTTATCAGTTGTTGGTTCTGTGAATTTTAAAGCGATCTTATCATGAGAATCATATATCTGTTTTTCAACTAAATACCACAGCTAAAACTGACATTTATATTTTAATACATATTTTTTTTTAAATTTCAAAAAGACTTATTAGGTTATTTTCACAAATTATATTACAAAGTAAAATAAGATCCCAAAAGTACTTTTTTGTTAACACTTTACAATAAGTATATGCTTGACAACAATGAATTTATGCTTGAATTATGCATTAATTATATAGCATTCTTGGTGTATTTTTTTCACATGCACACAGTTATTCATTCTCAGCCCTAAAGTTTTATGCCTTTGACCGGCCAACTTTAGTTCACAACTGGCAGATGTCACATGCTATATGTGCTGTGATTGGCTAGTGTTAGGGTCTGTCTATTTACCTGCAGGCTACTATGAGGAAGATATAAACCTGCTTGATAACTTAAAATATAATTAATGGAAAAATATTAGTTCTTAAAAGATGGACATGCCAATTCCATTGCATATTCCTTTAATAATTCAGTTACATAATTGTATTATTTACATGCAACTAATAAAAACTTCTCTCATGAATTTATGATGAATGCATGAGCATATCTTTTTTTCCACATTTGGCAATAAAGACCTCTTTCTGTTAACAAAGAAAACATGATCATGTTTAATTTATAAGATCATGTAGATGTCTCAGTAAATTTCTTAATTGACATGTCTTAAATGACAGACTTAGACCTCATGTTAGTTCCTTCCTGATGATTCATGCCATATAATGCATGAGTTTATGAACTCATGGGCATTTCTAGCTCAATTTTCCCTCTATCATGAATATTATTGTCATCTGTCTCAACTTCCTTTTAGTCAGCAATGTGACAACAGCAGATCATTTTATGGTGTACCAAGAACAGGGTGAAGTGACAAACCTTAGGTTTACAGTGACAATAAAGTAAAGTTCACCCTGCAAATACATGTGCTTGTTCTGAGCAGGCCTGAACAGATGAAGAGCTCTGTCAAAAAATGTGACTGTTCGAACAGTAATTGCTATAATCACAGCACTTTTACTTTTTATTTTTAAATAGTTTGTGTTCTTTTGTTTTTTGATTGTGCTAGAGCAGGATACTGTAAGTGATTTGATTGAACTCTCAGCAGTGAACATTAAACCACACTGAACTGAACTAAACTGAACTTCAACACTAAAAACTGGACTGACAATGCTTCAATTTACTATAATCTTCTATGTGAAGCTGCTTTGACACAATCTACATTGTAAAAGTGCTAAAAAAATAAAGATGAATTGAAATTGAATTGAAAGTGGAGATGTTATAAGGAAACAAACTCACAGTGAAGAACTCTCGCAGCCAGTCTCCTTCAATCTCGCCCACCTGAGGACAACAACAATAACTGTTAGGGCACTTTTAATTATTTTTAACTAATAACATTTTCAAATTAACTGGGTTAAATTAGCACAATCGCCTCAGAGCAAGAAGGTCGCTGATTCGAGCCCCGTCTGGGTCAGTTGGCATTTCTGTGTGGAGTTTGCATGTTCTCCCGTGTTTGCATGGGTTTCCTCCGGGTGTTCCGGTTTCCTCCACAAGTCCCAAAATCATGTGGTAAAAGTGAATTGGGTAAGCAAAACTGTTTGTAGTGTATGTGTGAAAGAGTGTGTATGTATGTTTCCCAGGGATGGGTTGCAGCTGGAAGGGCATGCGTAGTGTAAAACATATGCTGGATAAGTTGGCGCTTCATTCCACTGTGGCTTAAAGGGGACTAAGCCGAAAAGTAAATAAATGAATGAATCTTTCAGTTAAACTCACAGTATTTGGTAACTGATTGCTTTCAACTGTCATACAGGCTACTTTCTCACTGAATGTATAGACGAATTGCCAACCTACGTCACACATAACGTCACATGGGTCCCCGGTTGCAAAAAAAGACTGGCTGCAATAGCAAACATGTTGCGTTGTACGGTAGGATGCCAAATTCGCTATGCTGAATCATACACATTACTTGTTTTTGATTGCAGCAATGATTTCAGCAAAAACAGTTAGATGGTTAATTAAACTGCGGACACTTACTGTAATGCTAAGAATGAAACATGAAAGTGTAAGTTATTAAGGTAAAGTAGGTTTTATATTCACACTTTCATTCAGTGACAACTTGTGACACTCTCTATATAGTTTACAATGGCACTTTGAATATTTGGTCTAAAATAACCTGCAAATGTGACTTGTAAACAACATTAACACTGTTTATTTGACTGTGAACAATGTTGTGCTTTGATTTGATATTCATTGGCTCCTAATATATATCCTATATGCTATTTAGAGTTTGCAAATAATACTTTTATGAAATTATATTTTTAAGGAGAAAGTCAGAATGTGCGTATATAAAACCAACTTTTACCTTTATGTGTAAATTCACATACCCTGCCATACAGGTGTAGTTCGCTAGCATGCAGTTGTTTTGCTTGTTGATGATTAATTACCCAGGCCTTGTACAGTCCTATTTCCTTGTCTTTGGCTAGGCAGAACCTCGGTTTTTAGCAATACATAGTGTTGAATTTGGTAATCACGGAACATTATTTCTGGCACATGACCACACAGAACAACATTGTTGTTGGCATCCAAAGACTTGTAGGCCTTTAACTTCTCTCTTGTAAAATAACTTGGACCTTCAATGAGATTGTATATTTGGGGCTGGATGCTTTGCCATTCTGTCTTTTAGAATATTCATTGGGAGGGTGCTATCGCAAATGGACCTGTCAGATGAACGCTGCTCACTTTAATGTTTATTTTGCAGAATCCCTGTGCTTATCACTGGGTGACAAGCTGTTATAATACGCTGAAAGCATTATGTAAATATATATATATATATATAAATATAAATATATAAATATATATATATATATATATCTCATCATATATGACAACATCTAACTCTGTACTGCATCGGATCTCATTCCCTCACTGTAAATACTAGTGCTCTCATTATTTTTTGTTTCTGTCACCTCCCTGTGTGCAAAATCTCAATGTTTACAAACATGGTAATTTGTCTATTAGTAAGAATAAAAGTAAAGCATAATAGTAGTCATTTCGCACAGATTGTACATTAGAGGCCTTTTGCTCATTTATTTCACAATTAAATTTTTAATTAAAAAGTTAAATTAAACAAAAAAGCTACTGAACATATCTTTATATCAGAGTTTAAAATAGAACAACTTGTTGCCGTGCATCTCACTGGCGCATACTGTACCACCAAGAATGATGAACCACATCCAACAGGACTAATTATAGATGCTAGAGAAAGCTGTCTGAAACAGATTTGCAGGTGCTAACCCAGATTGTATCCACAAAAAGGAATAAGTAATGATTTGGGTGACAATATCATGACCTAGGCTTAATAACTGTGCTACATGGTAGCGTCACTACCAAGGACTACCAAACCATTCTGGAGGACCCTGTGCTCCCAATGGTTTATATGCACCAATACACATTGAAACACTGATGACATAGTGGTTTGATGAAGATTAAAGTGAAGTTGGACATATCCCATGGCCTGCACAGTCACCACATCTAATATTATTAAGCCACTTAGGGGAGAAGTCAGGAAGTGCTTTTCTTCATCAGAATCACATAGTGACCTAGGACACTATTCTGCTTTATAAAAGTATGGCTCAAAATCCCTCTGGCCACTGTGCAGGGCTTGTATCTGTCATATCCAAGATGAACTGATGCTGTTTTGCCGCAAAACATATACACTGGTATACAGTATATTTATGAATATGTGGATCTATGAGCAACAGGTTTAATTATGTCAATATTTAAGTTTAAAATGTCAATCCCTCAGCACACCAATGGTGTATTTAAAACTGCTTTGTCTCTAAAATGTGCATGGGGTTGGGTCAGAGTTTGTGTGCAGGTGCGCACAAGTTTTGTTTATAAATCCCATCTTTTGCATAAAAAGTGGAAGATGCATATTTAAGGGCCTGTTTTGTGCTTACACAATGAGGCCTCTGAGCCTCCACTAGTAGTATATATATATATATATATATATAGATGTGTGATATATTTTAGTAATTTTACACATATTTCAAAGGGATATTGCTAGCAAAAAAAAAAAAAAAAAAAAAAAAAAAAAAATATATATATATATATATATATATATATATATATATATATATATATATATATATATATATATATATATATATATATATATATATATATATATATATATATATATAAAAGACTATTAGGTGTTGAAGTGATGAAATATAAGTGCGAACTGAATATTTTTCAGATAACTGTCATGACATGACAAACTCGCCGTTTTTAAGACCTGATTTCTTAAAAAAAATAAATAATAATAATTTTGATACTGTCAAACCTCCACCCATTTTACCTCGGTATCCAGTATTACCGTTCATAATAAAGAAAATTATGACGTAAGGCTCAGACAGCGTCACCAAACTGTTGGCTTGTGCCTAAACCATTCAGAAACTGAACTATTGTTCATATTAGAGATCTGGGCAGGACGCTCTCTCTTATTCACATGCATGCACACACACACACACACACACACACACAGAGAGAGAGAGAGACAGACAGAGAGAGAAAGAGAGAGAGATTTTACCATACTTTATTAAATCATCTTACAAAACCCAAAAACGAAAAAAAGAATTTACCATATACATATTACAACATCAAATTGAAAATTAAATTTTCCTCCACAACAGTACATAGAACATTGTTAAAACACCACTGCAACATAAACATATCCAAATCATTCATACCCTTGTAATATTTACATTCAAACAGAATCCTTGATTTAACAAGAGTTTTAAAAGACAAAATGACGTCTTGACCATGTGAATTATTTATCTTACTTTTTCTTGACATATAGATTGCCATTTTTGCCTGTCCCACCACAAAGTTAATTAACTGCCATTTAAATCTTTGACTATAATTATAACCTGCCCCCAAAATGAAAGCAGTAGGTGTAAAAGATTCTCCAAAACCTAAAAATAAGTGCTCCAACAACACAAACAGTGACTGCAATCTATTACACTCTAAAAAACAATGAAAAATAGTCTCTCTTAAACCACAAAAAGCACAACTGTCATTGATGTTAGGATTAATAACAGATACAAAAGCATTGACAGCAATAACACCTTTTAAAATTCTCCATTGTAAGTCACCTGATTTTTTAACCAATGGTGGTTTGTATAATACCCTCCACACCGGTTTAACTTCATCACCCAAATTAAGTTTTGTCCTCCAGACATTGTCTGAAAGAGAGAGAGAGAGAGAGAGAGAGAGCACTAAGCGACGCACAGCACCACACGCTCTTTCTCTCTCTCTCCCGCGCTTTATTCGAGAAATCTGGTCGGCTCCCCCAGTACTGCAGCGGAAATGCAGACCTCTAGTTCGAGTTTACCACGTTTTCCTTCTTGCTTTGTCGAAACCAGAAATACTGCCAAACTGCAGGTCACTTGGTGCGCAACTCGTCACCTCACCTCTCTCTCACCCATTTCTTTTTCTCTCTCTCCTCCATACTGTCCCATGACGACAATCGCACATACCCATTTGTGGGCATTAAATAAACAATATTTATTATTTAATACTTGTCGCCTAGGCCGGCAGAATAGAGAAGGCAGCGTCCATGACACCTCTCTCAGCACGCGCGTTCTCAGTTTTGGCCGCGACACCTCCCTTACCACCCGCGTCCTCAGTTATATCCGTGCCTAAGGTGGCAGAATAGAGAGGGTAGCGTCCGCGACACTTCCCTCACCACCCGCGCCCTCAGTTATATCGGCTACCCCCACCGCGGTGTGATAAGGGACAATCGCGACACACCCCGTGACTACCTTTCCAATAACGTCATGCGTGCCTGCAAAAGTTGAGCTAGTTGAAGAAGAACGTGAGGAAACACTTTTTTTTTTCGCTCGACATTACGAGCACAGCTCCGTTTAAGCCCTCGCAATATGCGTTTAGCCGGGAAAGCTTGCACGGAGCTCTTAGTAGTGGGACACTGTTTGTGTCCAACAACACAAACAGTGACTGCAATCTATTACACTCTAAAAAACAATGAAAAATAGTCTCTCTTAAACCACAAAAAGCACAACTGTCATTGATGTTAGGATTATTAACAGATACAAAAGCATTGACAGCAATAACACCTTTTAAAATTCTCCATTGTAAGTCACCTGATTTTTTAACCAATGGTGGTTTGTATAATACCCTCCACACCGGTTTAACTTCATCACCCAAATTAAGTTTTGTCCTCCAGACATTGTCTGAAAGAGAGAGAGAGAGAGAGAGAGAGAGAGAGCACTAAGCGACGCACAGCACCACACGCTCTTTCTCTCTCTCTCCCGCGCTTT